TGCAAAATCGTGTCTGTGTGGTTTTCTCTCCTGAGTCAGGTTTTCCCTTGCGACGCCAACCCAGGGCAGTTGTGTTTAAATCATAATCGTGTTTACATGTATCTCGGGCTTAGAATGTGGCCACAATGTCACAAGGTCGCCAGGGCGTTCGACTGAACACGGCAGATGACATTTTTGCAATGAGGTCAGTGGCCGCAACCGGGATTTCTTAGAAAAGCCCCTCGGCCTGTCCTCCCATAAGATAAGGTGGCGCTATTGCTGAGGGGCCTCTGTGCGCAAGCTCATTTGCTGCAGGTTGTTCATCGGCTCTGGTTTGCAATAATTTCCGACCAGTAGTTGCCTCTGGCAGTTTACAGTCCATGGCAGAGTACTGGCAGAGAACTCTGGATCATCTAGAGCCCACTGCATTAAACCAGGCCGGCTTGGAGTGTCAGGGGGTCAGGGCCCATCTGGGATTCGAGGCAGGCCATCGCACGCCGAGGGGGATGGCTCAGAAGTTTCTTGTAACTTGGGTCACATCTCCAAGGCCCCGGCGTCACTTGCAGTAGCACTTGCACCTCGCACAGCTTTGCCCAAGTACTTTGGTACCAGTCACCCTAAACCCTAAACTAAACCCTCAACCGCCAAAATGAGTTTCAGCCCAGCAACGGAGGCACTTCGGTGATCTGGCCACCCTGACGCTGATAGCCGAACATGGCCCCATGGCTTGCAAGACCATTTGCACGCACAGCAAGAACTTGGTAGCCCACTGGTACCCTTTTGCCCTGTTTTTTTTTGGTTATGGGTTCCCTTACAAAATAGCCAACCCAAAAAAGGGTGCCCTTATAAACAAAAGCACTTAATTACTGGGCTACCAAGAGAAAGGCCAGGGAGCCCAGGAATGGGCATGGTTTGGTTCGGCTCATGCTGTGAGCTTGCTGGGCCAGGACCCAGCCCACTGGCATGGCGGGGTCAGGTCAAAGAGGAAGGGTGGCTGTGGCTGAGCAGGGCTGGACATGGCATCTTCTCTCAAAATGGTTCCGCGACTCTGGTTGATGCTGAAGCAGAGTCATGCGACAAGGCTGGGGATCGTTGGGACACTCGGTATGTAGTGGCCGGTGCAGTTCATCATGGTTTCTTGTACGGTGCGGTTGGAGGGGTTTGGCTGCGTGGCTAGCCATCTACAACCCTTGACTACGACTTGCCCCAGAAGGCCACAAGTCATCGTAATTTACGGGACCCAGTAATGACATCAGAGAGTTTGAGTCGAATGCTGGATGATGCTGTGGATGTTCTCCTCGAAGAAGGTTTTGCGTCAGATGCAAAACAGAAAGTCAGTCCGGGGCACAGCAATTGAGGCAGCTCACTCAGATTTTCGGCTTGAAGCCCGGTATTGTTCCAAGCTTCTGATTCTTGTCACATCGCGCCGAACGATGCCAACTGCCTGACCCAAGGTTACTTTAAGCGGGGGCCAGACACAGATGGGAAGTGGGTGGAATTCACACCGTACAGCACGTTGGACTGGATGGATTCTTGGCCTGAGTATATGTGAACCGGTGGGCTTGCTATGCATTGTGGCGAGTTTGGTTAGCCGTACTCGCGTGTTCGAGAACGAGGTAACGCGTTACTTGGGGCAAGTAGCTCTGCTCAATGTAACAATCTAGCGGGGTTGGAAGTTGAGGATCTGGTCTTCTCTCATCATATAGGATCGTTTGCGAGCACGTGGCCTCATCTTGACGTGTAGTTGCGTCTGCTTTGGGTGCGTGGAAAGTTGCTTTCAAGTCGTGCAACGCGAAGCGACCGCCGTCCAGGACAAGATCTATCCCGTTCTCGAGATGTTCAGGCGATGCACTCCAGGCTCCCCCGGTCCAGTCTGCGTTGGAGGTATGTAGATCGGGAGAGGGCTCTTCTTACTGTAGGTTCGTTAGGAAGGAGGGAATGAGGCGCCCTATATCCCCCTACATATACCCTTTAAGGGATGATATAGGGTGCCTCACCCCCTCATTACTAAGCAACAGTAAGTTGTGCGAATACAGCTGACAGCCCAGGTGCCACCATCGAGCAGAAGGCTTCGGCCATAGTGTGGCACTACCGGGATTGCGATGAGGAGCTTGTAAGAAAGGTCAGAGTTAGGTTGCCATGTAATGGAGCTGCCCTTGAGGGCGTGCGATGCCTTGCTTCGAAGCCTTGAGAGACCCCCTGACTCCGCCTGTTCTATGGAGGACTACGGCCAGTTCAAAGCAAAGGAGCTGATGCACCAGCCACGAGACCGCCTTGGGCTTCGGTGGTTCTGGCTAGAGTGGCTAGAGGGGTTCAAGGGGGCTATGGAACCCAAGGTACCCTGACACTCCCTAGGGCTCCCGAAGGTTCGCTTGCTACCTACCCCCCGGTGAACCCCCCCCCTCCCTTAAGAATTCTATAATGTTTGCTTGTTTCTGGCAGGGCTTACGTAAGGCGTGAGGAAAGTTGTGAGCTAGGACGAGAGAAGCTGTTTTGATAGGTGGCCTGAAGCCTCGTTTATCGAGAGGGGGCCCATGGCTGGTTGGCCCCTCACAACACAGTGTTTCGATTTTCGTCTACGCTGCCCTTGACTCTTTTCTTGCGCCTCCCAGCCTTCGCTCAAATTGTTCCAAAAACGAAGCAGGAAAGCCAGCAACACAGAGATAGACCGAGAGTCGGAGTCAGAGGGACTCCCCACGCCCGCGGCTTGAATCATTGAACTGAGGCTGGCCTTGATGCTCGGAAACCTGCCGTGTGCTATCAGCCAGGGCAACAAGACTCTTGCCCGGGTATGAGGAAAGTTGAAGTTCAGGGTGTTGGCAGAAACCTTCTTCATCTTTCAGGGTTGGCTTTACCCAGTTCCAGGCCTTGGGTTAACGGAGCACTCTTCCGCACTTCAACCCTGTTTAGGCCCCGTTTCCCGCAGGTTGACACAGGCTGCTGCATGGGGAGCATCGCAAAAAGTATGCGCATGTCGGGGCCGGAAGCAGTTGCAGAAGTTGTCGCTTTGAGAGTGTTGCCGCATGATACGGTCTTGGGCCTTTGCCATTCAATTTTTGTGAGAACGTGAAAGACTATACAAAAGCACAAAGTTGTGTTGGCACCACAGCTTTTTTACCCGCGCAGATAAGAAGCTTCTGCTGACAAGCTTGAGACCTCGGCTTCTTGGCAGCGGACATGCGGTTGCTAGAGGCTGGATCACGTATAGGATCACCACAGTCGGCAACCGTCGCAGAGTTGCAGTTGGGAGCAGAGACTGCAACTACTGCCAAGGTCCGAGCTATCGCATTCTGCTAGACCACCGAAAAAAAAACACGAGCTGTCTCAGTGCGCAGCGCCAGCGCGCCTCTCGCAATTCGAAGTTCGGCCGCTTCGGGCAGAGGGTGAGAGAGGACGGATGCCATGGTAAGCTATGTGAAGCTTCTTTTGACAACTGGCACCCGAGTTTATCGAGAAAGATTTTCTCACAAGACGTTCTTGCAGTCGGCCTTGGAGCAAGAGATGCGTGGGCACATGGAGAAGCAGTGTTACCGGTGGAGCATGGGGCGCAGCGAAACACCATATCTAGTATCCGAGAATCCTGCACGGTACGACTGCCGGAACTGGCCGTGGCCTTGGCTGATTCTGCAATGGGTATGCACAGAGCACCGACAAGCGGCGGAACACGATGCGCCAGGCCAGCGCCAGGTCAAAGCTTCAAAAAGGCTCACTTCTTCCTTTGCTTTGGGGGATGTGCATCTATAGGCTTGAAGCTCATTTTCTGACCAAGGATTGTGGAAGTGGCGTCCCTCTCGGTGAGGAAGGGCGTGGTGGTGGGCAATGCTGTGCAACAGCCCCTACGCTGAGCCGGATTTCTTGTTTCGGGAGTCCAGAGTTTGCGTGTTCCCTGGGCGTACCGCAGAAATTGTCTACTCAAAAGTTTTGCGGGCCTTGAGCTTATAGATGCTCTGTGTGCTGAGTGGTGGGTGCGCACGCACTCTGCGAAAGCGAGAAATCGGAAAGGCCCGTAACCCTGACCCTGGCCGGCTCAAGGCATGAAAGCATCGCCAAACCTTTCCAGGAGGCTCGGAGCAAGGGTCCCCAACTTCCCTTGCTGTGGGTTGAAAGTTCACGCAGCTCCGCACCGGCACTCAACAAGAACCGGCATCTAGCAGAGAGAGAGAGAGGGGGGGGACCTCTTTCGAGGGGTCCTTTCAAGCGTGCAGCAGAAGAAGAAGAGAGAGAAAGAGAGGGAGAGAGAGAGAGAGAGAGAGAGCCGTGCAAGACCCTTGTTGCTGCAAAGGCTCTACAGGTGTGCACAACCTTGTTGAGATGGGAAGTGTGACTGCCCCCCCCCCCCCACCCCCCCGGTTCCAGGGGCGCAGAACTGGAAGCCCACATCTTCTGCAGGTCTTGATCTGTGGTGACGACCGCACGGATGAGCCGGGAAGCTGCAGTTGAGTTTGAACGATGCAGTGCAGACTTTGAAGCATGGCAGTCTATAAGGCCTCTACCTATACCCAAAGCATCCGCCTTCGATGTTGCTTTATCAGATTAGATTGGCCCGAAAATTCAATTGCACCGGTACGGAACCTTTCTCGTTTTGGCTCGAGCGAATACCAGAAACATGTGATCCCCAAGCCCTGGACCATAGCAATACCCCCAGCTCAGGAATAGATGGTCATATGATGCCTCTTTATTAACACTCCCCACAATAGAATCTAAACTCAAATCTCCCCGCATGACACTCAAGGGAAGACGGGCTTTCCGTAATATGGTCAGCGGTGGAAACCATAGCCAGCCTGGCGTGTACCCCCTCTGCGTATCAAGCCCGCAAAGATTGAGACTACTCCGAGTTTGGGGGGTTACGAAAGTAGGGGACCCCGAAAATAGACCCCCAAAGAGTAGGATCCCCTTGTGCTAAGGTGCCCTTTAAAATCGTAAGCCCCCCCCCCAACTTTTTTTAGGATCGTAGAAACCGAGAGCTTTTCGAAGGACGAGGCGCGTAGCGCTTCGGGTGCTTCGCTTAGGGAAGCCCCGTCATGCCGGCACCGCCCCGGAATCGCGAGGCCAGCCTTATACTATATGGGGGTTTATGATGCAAAAGGGGTACCTTATTGGGGTCCTTAAGTACAAGGGGATCCTACAATTTGGGGTTTATTTTCGGGGTCCCCTATTTTCGTAAACCCCCATACAAAGCTTGAGCTGTACTCACGAGTTGTCATGTCTTGCTATTGAAAAAGTGGTAGTGGTATAGTGTACTACTGCATTGCACGGCTCTCCAAACCATGTTCCAGATTTCTGGAGTTTACTGTATAGAAAGCCGGGGTTCATGGGGCTTATAGGTTACAGGGGGTTGATGTGTGTTCTTATGGGTTTACATGTATGGGTTTATAGGGTTCATGTGCTTTGTATGGGGGTTGTATGTTTTTTTGTGTGTTTATAGGGGCTGATACGGGGTTTTGCGGGTTTTTGTAGGGTTCCTATTGTGGCGCAGGCGAAGATGCCGGCCTGTTCGGCCGAGTTCAGCCGGCTTTTGCAACTCTTAGCTGCGGAGCACGTAAAGGAGCCTTTTCTGGAGGTTTAGGGTTTTGGGTTTTGGGTTTAGGGTTTAGGGGTTGGCCGATCAAAGGGCCCTTCAACCCAAAAAATGGCGATGCAGAGCTTGAGAGGACTTAAGGGGCGCATGTTGGATTTCTTAAGGCCTCAATCGCCTTAGTCACCCTGAAGCCGATGATGTTGCCAGCCCTGAAGCCGCCCAGGAGATTGGCAAAGCTCGGGCGGCTCCATCGCAGACCTCGACATCGGCACCACCCAGCCAGTCAGAGAAGCAGGCGGATGGAGCGAGACAGGGAGAGGTGGAGAGAGAGACAGGGGAGGCCAGCTGTGCGTATCAGGGTTGCAGGTTGCGCAGGCGAGATTCCGCACCTCGAAAGAAAGAGAGAGGCGCCCCTTAACGAAGGAGGGGGAGCCAAAGCGATCGAGAGAGTCTCGTGTGAGTCCACACATTGGCCGAACCAATGGGTAGCAGACGGCTGATTCGGGGGCATTCAAAAGACGCAGAGGCCTGAGATGCAAGGACATCAACACGGTTCGGTTTGACCGAAGACCGCGAATCCGAGAACCAGCCGGCACGGCTGGCTCCCTCTCGCAAGAGGGGGCCAGGGAAGTGGAGAAGACTATTACGAAGAGATAAGTAGGGTAGTGGGATAGAAACAATTGTCTCCGGAGAAATGGCCAGGGGTCATGCGTGTAGGGTGTGATGTGCGGGGGACGTCAAAGTGTGCAATCCAAAGAACAATGAACACGCAGGTTGCCTTGCAAAGTTGAACGTGCCGTGCGCAGGCGACAATCATACTGCCAGAGCCTGCATCTCCGATGTCTCTTGACACCGCCTCCTCAAGGAGGTTGCCAGAGCTTCTTGCTTGCTTGTCTCTCAGTAGACTCTTTTCCTTTTCTATGGAATGTTGGGGAAAAGACTTCAACGGATTTGAAGCAAACCATACGCCGATGTAGCTATACAGGCACTCAGAATCAGTCTGGCACTGGTAAAGAATATTCGGCCTGGGGGTCAGCATTTTGCATGCTGCCCTGGCCTGCCCTGAGGATGACGATCACCCGCAGAGAGGATTCCCCTGCAGAGGAATTGCGTGGCAGAGGATTTTCGCAGCAAATCTCTGGCGACTTGTCAGAGGGTTTCTCAGGTGATTTCAAAATTTGGCTTCCCTGACACACAGAGACGCAGACAGACAGAGGTTTTGAGCACTTCTTCCACAAGGCCAAGATAAAATATGACACAGCCTGTAAAGTATGAGGTCGTCGGAACATGCCTCGCAACGTTGACGTGTCTGCCGCAAGGTGACGAGGCTCCCAAGAACGAGACGTCTCGCGAGCTTCGCGAGCGTGAGCCCAGCAGGGATCGAGGCCTTCTTTCTCCTTGCTGTGGGGTGTGTCCTTGATGATGAGAGAGTGCATCCTAGGCCTTCAAAGCTCAGGGTTTAGGGTTTAGGGTTTAGGGTTACCTCAAGAAGCCTATCGTCTGGTCTTGCAGTCTTACCTTCGAGTCTCGACAGGCGAGCCCAGCCGGGACAGGGCCTCCAGCGGCAGCGCTTTCCGAAAGCATCTCGCCCTGTCATGGCAACTGTTGCAGTCCTAGCTTCCATGTGGGGGTTACGAAAGAAGGGGACCTCCAATATAGATCCCCTTATAAGATGGACCCCAATAAGGTACCCCTAGTTTCGGAAAACCCCCACATCTTGCAAAAGAAGTGGCGTCTTTCCCAAGCAAGACAAGCGGGGGATGAAAGCTTACATGCGCGCGCTTTTGCGCTTGCGCTTGCCTGAAGGTTTCCCACGCCCCTGAGTTTACAAGAGGCTGCGTCGGGCATGAGCTTACGATAAGGAATAGCAACAACGATAAGGAGGTCGTGCTTTGAGAAATTGCGCCCTACGACCAGTAAGTGTACGGTTGGCGAGTGACACAAGATAAAAAACGGGCTTTGAGACATGTCCATGCACCTGGCAAGGTTTACTTAGATCTTTCGCCAGTTTCGACTGTTGCCATCTGCCGCAAGCGAGTGCAGCATCTGGATTTAAACAGGACAAAACGCTGACGACGCGCTTGACGTCCTGCCCCATCACCTACTATTCAGATTTCAATTTGCCAAGCGTTTGGTCATACACTGGGACCCGGATGAGGCCCTGATTCTCTGCTCTTTAGGGTTTTAGGGTCCCTCACAAGAGCCCCCGCAAAACGCGCACCTTATGTTCCTCTTGAGTCTAGTATGGCAAAACGATAACACGCTCAGCCTAAACCCTAAACCCTAAACTAACCCCAAACCCTAAACCCTAAGAGGGATCGTTGATCACAACATTTTACAAAGCAGTAACGAGTATTGTTCCCTGCAGTGCGTCTCTCTGAGTCAGCCAGGCGGGGGGCAAAAAAAAAAAACAAAAAACGAAGCCCTAAACCCTAAACCCTAAAGAAATCCTTCGGGGATCATCCGATAAAATTGGAACGATACAGAGAAGATTAGCATGGCCCCTGCGCAAGGATGACACGCACAAATCGAGAAGTGTAGCGACTAAACCCTATAAACCCTAAACCCTAAACCCTAAACTAAGTGAGGGGTCGCTTCCGTCGAGCGACAGCGCCCAAGCGAAAAGAGAAACGGAAAGGTGAGGGTTAAGCCTCACCGTCTGTCCTGGACAGGCCAACGGACATCGGCCTTTTTTACGACAACGTCAGTACTCGGCGAAGGGATGGCCGGCACCCAGACCACTTCAGTGTGGCTAAAGTACAGCCCCAAACACATTTTCAGGGTTTTGGGTTCAGGGTTTGCCGGGCCCCCCCCCCCCCGGGGCCCCCTGGCCCCTGGTGGCTGGATTCCTGGACCAGGAGGCTGGCGAGGGGGTCCAGGCAGGCTGCTCAATTTCGTGATTTTTCGGGATTTTTGATTCTGAGGGCCTGGGGGCCTCTCCCGGGGCCTCCGCCGAGGCCCCCGCTGGCCGGGCTGGGACCTCCAAAGCCTCGAAAGGCCCGCCCCACAGGAAGCTTCAAAAATGCTTTTTTCGTACTGAAATCGATGGTTTTGGGCACCCCTCCATTTACCCCACAAGGTTTTAAGAGGCACCAAGAGCCACCAAAAGGTTTCAAAACGCTCTCTAAAGGAGGGGGCCCCACGCAATGAAAAATGCGATTTTTTAGTACTAAGAACGATGATTTAAAGCTTTTGGTGGCTCTTGGGGCCTTTGGGGGCTTCCTGGGGGCTGTCCTGGCCTTCCGGGGTAACATGAAGGGGTGCCCAAAACCATCGATTTCAGTACCAAAAAAGCGCATTTTTCATTGCGGTGCGGGCATCCTGGGGTTCCCCCTTCTTTTAGGGGGCCTTTTGAAGCCTTTGAAGCCTTTTGGTGGCTCTTGGGGTCTCTCGGGGCTTGCTGGGGCTTTCCTGGCCCTTTTGGAGCAAAATGCAGGAGCAGGCACAAAGGGTTTCCCTGACCTTCAAATAAAAAAGGGCCTCTGCGGGCCCTGACACGCCGAAGGCCCGAAAAGGGCCGAGGCTACCCCCAACCCCAGCTTAAACCCTAACACTGCAACTTTAAAAACATCAAAGCAAGCTTGCCAACCAAACTCCCGCGACTTGGGACTCCGGGGCCCTCTGGAAGCTGGTGGACCTCTTTTCTCTAGACTCTAGCCGGACGCTCAGGGCTTAAGAGGCTTGGGGCCCCAGGATTTGCCCGTGCCCGCAAGGACAAACAAATGCGATTTTTTTGTACTAAGAACGAGTTTTGGGCACCCCCCAGAAGGGCCAGGAAAGCCCCCAGGAAGCCCCCAAGAAGCCCCAAGAGCCACCAAAAAGGCTTGAGGCCCTTAAAGAAAGGGAATCCAGGAGCCGGCACAAAGGGTTTCCCTGACCTTCAAATAAAAAAGGGCCTCTACGGGCCCTGACACGCCGAAGGCCCGAAAAGGGCCGAGGCTACCCCCAACCCCAGCTTAAACCCTAACACTGCAACTTTAAAAGCATAAAAGCAAGCATCGGGGCACAAGAAAATAGATTCCATAAACCTTAAACCCTAATAGAGTATAGTGTGGGTGGCCGGGGTGGGTTGACGGGCAACGCGAGCGAGCGGCCCGGGGTGTTTCACACCCGAACGCGCGCCCTCCCCTGACACACACTAAACCCTAAACCCTAAACCCTAAACCCTAAACCCTAAACCCTAAACCCTAAACCCTAAACCCTAAACCCTAAACCCTAAACCCTAAACCCTAAACCCTAAACTAAACCCGAAACCCTAAACACTCAGCCCCTGGGGCTTGCAAGGTCGCCCTCGAGTGAGATGGGCGGCTCCAGCCAGCTCCGTGGTGAACCGAGCCCAAGCCTGGAGGTCGCTAGCCCTAAACCCTAAACCCTAAACCCTAAACCCTAAACCCTAAACCCTAAACCCTAAACCCTAAACCCTAAACCCTAAACCCTAAACCCTAAACCCTAAACCCTAACCCTAAACCCTAAACCCAGCTATGCGGGTTCCAAAAGAACCTAGACCCTTAACCATAAAACTCTCCTATAAGGGGCGAGAGGCCGCACGCAGAGCAGTTTTTTTCGATGCCAAGGGTGTATCGGTTTCTAGAAAAGCAGCGAGATTCAGGTTTAGAGCTGTTCAGAGGGGCTCTGGGTTTTCAAGTGCTCCCGGGTCAGGGCAGTTGGCTTCATGACTCCATGGGGCACTTCGATCACTTCGACCTCTCCTTTCAGGAGGAGGGTTGCCAGCGGGAACGTCGGAGGCTTCAAGCGCAACACAAGCTGGAGCTTGAGATGTAGATTCGACCTGTGTGCCTTTCATGGCTACAGTGTAACCCATGTTGCGAAGAACGGTCCGCTTTGAAGAGCCGCTGAGACTGACTTAAGGCTGGTAGGCTGTAGTTCGACGTGCCACGAAGCGCAACGAAGTTTAAGAATGGGTATCCTGAGTCTGGGCTATGCCTTTCTTCCAGAGTTGCTCTGGCCGGGAGGCTTTGAACACCTCCAACCGATCCTTAAATTGGTTGCTGTACCCTAAGCCCTAGACCTTAAACACTTATACATTAGCCAGCCAACAACCCTACTGTAGAGGTCGGAATAATTACTACTAGTATTCCCTTATGGTAATTATACCAAAAACACCAGAGTATACCCCCAAAACCTTGTTCCACTTGTTAAGGCCCCTGTAGTGCCAAAGCGTTTGCAGGAGACGTCCAACGATGACCCGAGCACCTGCCAGCGCCTCGCCGCATTCCTGCAGTCCCAGGCCGGACCTCGAAATCACCCGAGTAGCTACTATTTGCTTAAGAACCCCTAAACCCTAAACCCCCCCCCCCCACCCCCCAAAAAAATCAATAAGTGAAAAACAAGAGAGAGAGAGATATATATATATGTATATTGACCCCTATCATACCCTCATAAGGAAGAATGTTTTTGATTTTTTAGGGTTCTTAAGCAAGTAGTCGGTAGGGTTGAGGGTTGAGGGCTTTTGAGCAAACATGTGAACAACATGGTAGCAACCTGGTCGCGCGCTATCCTAGTGCTTAATGCATCTAACAGCAGCTTAAACACGCTCTTTCCAACAAGCACAAGAGTCAACATGATAGCAAACGCAGGAACCACACGAGAACACAATAACCACAATCATTCAAGTAGGGAAGTCCTAAAGATACGGTATGCCCTTGAGAAGGCTTCATATAGGGCTGCTGTCTAGGGTGACGCTGCTTCGAGCCTCCCTGACTCAGCGCGGAGCACCAGGCTTTCGAGTCGCTCCTATCGGTGCTGCTGATTGCCAACGTCGTCTTCATGGCTTTTGAGATGCCCCTTGGGGTTGCTCTCAGGAATCTTTTAATTTTCCTCACTTCTTTGCTATACCCCCTTTCCTGTGCTGCACTTTTCGGTCTAGGAGAGAAATTCTGAGCTCCAGAATCCAGAATAATTGGTGTAGTCCAGAACTGAACCCTAAACCCTAAACCGTCAAGTGTTGACTGGCCCCCCTCGTGAGGCAGTATCTTGGCTCCGTCGCCGGGCCCCTCGGCTCTCGGGATTTTGAGGCCTTGGGAGCACGAACTTGCGATGGGAACATTATATACTAATGTATAGAATTTGGTTTATATATCTATATAATACCAAACATCGGTTTTTGCGATTTTGGAGGGGAGGGGGGGGGAGAATTTTCCGGGAATGGAGGTTGCTGAGTTTGGATATGGGATATGGGCAGTTCTCTACACTGCGGTACCGGTTAAGGTCCTTTTATTGATTCGGGTGCCGATAGAATGGAACCCCCAAAAAGGGACTCAAATTCGGGAAATGGCATCTTTAAGGTTCCGGTGTGGGCTCGGCTGGTTGAAGAGCAGTCATGAGTAGCAATTTCTTTACGCGCGTGTAGAATTCATGAGTGTCAGAGTGTCATAAGTAGCAATCTATACGTATGTTGACAATGTTTCTAATTCATGTAATCGAGACATTGTTGTACTATGTTACGTGTCTTTCAGCCTGTAGACTATGCGGCATGCCACAGAAGTGAAGGCCCTTTCGCACCTTTGAACAGCTTGGACCAAAGCTCAGGTTCTTAGGAATGAAGATATGGAGGTTTACGACATTTGCCTTATCGCGGTCCTCCTTATAAGGGGATCCTACTATTTGGGGGTCTCTATTGGGGGGTCCCTTGTTATCGCAACCCCCTATACCTCTAAACCCTATACCTCTAAACCCTAAACCCTGAACCCTAAACCCTAAACCCTAAACCCTATACCTGAGCCAAGCTCAGGCTTAGCATCGGGAAGTACTCGAACGTTTTCCCCACGGAGTCGGCCTGGCCCACGATGGACCGAGTCCTGCTCACTCGGTTGCATTGAGCAGAGGCTGTTCCAGCTTGGTTGGGGGTTTAGGGTTTAGGGTTTAGGGTTTTAGGGTTTAGGGTGCGATTTTGCGCGACCCTGAACAGACAATAGCATGGCCCCAAGATTAGGGCAGGTTTCGAATTCCTACCACACACCCAAGGTTCATTGGAGACCTTGTCTTCACGGCCGTCTTCGCAGTAGATGTTACCCTGCGCATCACTGTGCTGCGCTGTCGGTTCTGGCGCACGTTCATGACCCCTGGCAAACGGGATGCAAACGGTTTCTGAGCATCGCGGGTGCTGAGTGGTTGACGGCTGCGTAGAAACAAGAAAATACACATGTCATGCTAATTACTCATGTTCGGCCATGCATATGCACATACACACGTGTACCGTATAACCCAGATTGCATTTTCAGCCCGACTTGATGCCAACAGATTGCCCCAGGAACTGGATAGATGCGTTTGTGGTCGCTACGTCGTCGATTCAGTGGTTCTTCCCGAGTTTGTCGCATCCTCAGAAGCTAGGGGCCTCTTCTTGAAGAGCTCTCTAAGCCTAAGAGCCCTTAAACCCTAAACCCTGCAGCACAGGGGGGGTGGGAGCATTCGCCGGGGTCTTGGCTCCAGGGCGTGTCCATACAAGACTTTTGGCCAAAATCACGTAAGTCTCGGCTTGGTAAAGAGCCGCACTCTCAGCACCCCTGCGTCGGCGCTACGTGTCGATGCAGCCAGTGTGTGGCTTTCGGTAAACTGCCGGGTTTCGGCAGTACAGATTCTGAGCCCTGCCTAGGTCCCCGATGGCCCCCCAAAAACGGCTTAAGGTTCAGGGTTCAAGGCTTTGAGGGTTTAAGGGGTGTAAGGGTTTAAGGATTTAAGGGTTGAAGGCTTTAAGGTTTTGAGGGTTTGGGGGGGGCTGGAAGGTCGATCAACCCGATTTACCTCCGGCTTTTGCGACTGGGGAAGCTGGCAAGGGCACTGCGCATGGTGACCATGTCGACGCTCGGCCGAGAGGAGTTCGGGAGTGTTCAGGGATGAGTCGGCAGATCGCTCCCACCACTCGTTGCACTCTGAGGAAGTCAATGGACTCCTTGCAACTTCTCTTGAAGTGCTGCGCTTCCTCGGTGGACATGCTCTTCTGGCCGCTGGCATGCATGTTCGCGTACGCCACATGCGGCGATCCAGAATTTGTGTATATAAATGCGAATATAGAGTTTAATATCATATAAATATAGATACAAATATGAATATATGGTAATGGTGTGGTATGGTATGGTGTGGTATGGTATGGTATGTATGTGTGTACGTAGATTGATATGATACTGTTTTCACATGTAGCTGTTTGATTACATGGATATGTGAGACACGTGTCATTCCAGGCATGATTCACCATCATACTTATCATCGTGGTTTTTCACGAGCTGCATCTTTACAAAGCGCTTTCGACGACCTACTACTAGGGTTTGAGCTACCGCATGCCCAGAGACTCCAAAACCCCCTTTCAGGAATATACATTAAATGATAATAGGAACCCTAATGTGATTCAAGGTATATTCCTTAGTTAAGGGGTTTTGGAGTCTCTGGGTGCCCCAATGATGTTGCAGTTCTAGGTGGACTTTGTTCTACTAGTAGCTGCGTGGTGGCCACCTCGGTAGACTCCTCCTGGGTCACCACCCAGTTGCTGTAAGGTGCACGTGTTATTTGTTTTAGAGTCTATAAGGACTGGAAAAAGTCGATGAAGGGCATTCTCAGCATCCTGTGCGTAGTGTAGAAGATTTAGCTTCAATGTCAGTGCTGGCCCTCGACCTTCCGTTTGCTTAGCTCAAGTTAGACAGCGCGCCCCCTGAACCCTAAACCCTAAACCCCAGGTCCTTCTGCTTGCTGACTTTCATCCAATGCATCGCTGGCATGATCGTCAGTGCTTTGGTACGTGAGTATCTCACGGAATCTCGGACGTGCACGCAGTTGTGGGCTCTCCAAGCTGTTGCGAGTTTCCCAGCCACGCACTCCTAGGTAGGCCCTTGTGACATTTTACATATTTTCCCTTATTGGGTCTAAGAGGGTGATAGTAGGAATCCCTAAACCCGAAACCCTAAACCCTAATCCCTAAACCCTAAACTCAGAGGGGTTTAAGGGCCAGCCTAGAGTTCTCAAGCTGAGGATGACTCAAAGCTGCTCGAAGATCGGCAAAAAGTTTGGGACTACTACGGGACGTTTACCCGGACTCTTGGCTCTTGGGGGATTCAGGCGTCATGGGTTGGGACATTCCCCCTTATGCTGTTTAAAGTGCCCCCTCCCTATTAAAGACTGCTAGCATCAGGAGGGGGGGAAATCCCATGTCATGGGTCTATGAGGATGTACCTACACATCACGGCCGGGCAGGACAGAAGGTACAGGACCGCTCGGCGGAAGTCGCTCTCCAAGCGAGGTGTCAGGCACCCGAACGCAGCCTCTAGAAGTTTTCAGCTGAAGTCGACTTTGACTTCCAAGCAGCTCAGGCATTGGGAATGTTGCGTCGATGAATAAGGGGGAACACTACTGACCGGCTACTTTGCCACATATGTAAATATTCGAGTGTCTTCGCATGATCACCATTGGTTGCGCACGGATGGCGAACATCGCCGTCCTAGCCAGCAAGTGGTAGCCGGCGTTACTGCTCTCTGAACCCATCCACGTTGAAATCCTCTTCATTAGGCCCCCCACCCCCACCCCACCCCAAGAAAATGAGACAACGAAAAATGGTCTGCAGTATAGACGACCGCACAAACAAAAGGGACTTGCCCCCCTCCACATAGGCTAGGGTGGGATAGCGGAATCGATGAGCTGTTTGTGTGTGCATGTTTGGTGCCAAGCAAAGAACCGAGGACGTTTCTTACCATGTTTGAGATCCTCTTCGCCCCTCGGTAGCCTTGGGACATTTTGCACTTTCCAATTGGGTTTAACAGATAATCTTAGTAAGGAGTATTTGTCAGAGGGATCAGAGAGCCCACCTAGGCCAATTGGGGCCCACCATGCAGAGCACTCGTCGACAACGTGGATGAAGCCTTCTCACTCTTCTTCCTCATATACCGGTGTATGATCGGGTTTGCTGTGCTTCTGGGCTGCAAGGACTCGTTTGAACACAGCCGATGCTTTGGTGAGGCCACTGGCTTGTTTCTGGAGCCACGAGGATGATTTGCATACTTGGGTTGTGCAATGGAGGTTTGAAACCCTAAAGCCTGAAACCCTACACCCAATTTTTTCCATCAGGCTAAACGTGGTGAATGCCGTCTTTGTGCAGCAGACAATGCTTCTGGCCAGTAACGATGAAGATTTGGCCTTCAAACAGAAGCAGAAAGACTGGGAATCTTGGCGCATACGGTTACAGCTGGCTTGGGGTGGGCTCGGGTTTGAGTGTGGTAGCGACGGTTCTGTTCATCTTATCGACGTCCAAGAAACACGTTGCCAACTTTGCCGGTGTGCATTTTCGTGAGCTCGAGGAGTTTGATGAAGAGGCCCTTGTCAGCTTAGACAGAGAGCAGAAGGAAATCGGTTTAGGGTCTAGGATTTAGGGATACACGCCGGCTTTCACTGCATTCAACGGACCCATACAATGGCATAGAGGAACGAGACTTTCTCCTGGGTGTTGCAAGGGTGTGCCCTTCTAAGTCAGCTTGGCAAATGCCACCCCTGCCCACCCTCCCTCCCCCGCCCCTCCGCACCTCACCTAAACCCTAAACCCTAACCCCTAACCCCTAAACCCTAAACCCTAAACCCTAAACCCCCTTCCAAGGATTGGTACTCGAAGAAGGTGCGGCGACTCTTTGGTGCCATTGATACCTCCGGAGACGGCTCCATCACCTTCGATGAGTTTTCAAACTTGGTGCCTCTTCCTGTTTAGGGTTCAGGGTTTTTGGGGTTTGGGGTTTATGGCTGTTTCTGATGTCTGGGTCGACAGATAAGTTCAAGAGAGGCAATCAGAAGCCAATCCTGACTTCGGAGTTGAAGGGTCAAGGGAATCAAATGGGGTTTGCGAGTTTGAGTTATGGGCCTGTACGAAAGTCAGAGGCCCTTAATATAGACCCCCCCAAATAGTAGGATTCTCTTATGATAAATAAGGACCCCACTAAGGTACCCCTGATTTCAGAAACTACCCATATCGTCCCGCGCACAGGGCATGCATAGTCATGGATGGAAGGTTTCAATTGCAATCTAACCTGCCACCCCCAGGTTCGCCCCTTAATAGGCTTAACTATCCCTGAATAGCCTCAATTCTGGGGGAACCTAGGGGGGGTAATTATTTTTGAGGGGGTAGTTGGGATGCTTTCGTCTTTGCGTAAACTCTGCTTGAACTACCGGCAGCCCCAACCTGAAGCGAAGTTTCTGCTGCCACGCGTAGCCCCAGGTTCAAAGTCCGAAGTTGAAGTTTTGGATGAGCCAGCTGGAGTTGCTCGGCCATGTTCGGCTGTCTGCCTAGTTGCTGCTCAAGTGAAAGTACCGTACAGATGCCCACGTCATCAATTCCCAACCACAGCTGGGCCATCTGCGAATATACGAGGGCACCGGGACGCTACGATATGTCTGCCAACTTCACTGGTGAGTGAAGGCGTGCTATGTGCTCGCTCTACTTGGACAGTCAGAAACATGCCAGGATCGGTTTCATAGGCCATGTGCAGAGTGGTGGCAATGTCAAGACTGTTCACATCCTGTAACACTTGCTATCAGAGTTTGGAGAAGCACCAAACAGCGTGCCAAAAAGGTTGGCGAAGTGGAATTCTTCTGGAAACAGGTGGTAGAAGGTGTTGACGGGAATCCCCAAAGTACGCCTCATAAGCATCTAGGAAGCCTGTGGCGCCATCATCGCAACCATCATGCCTGCATGGGGGTTTACGAAAACAAGGGACCCCTAATATAAACCCCCCAAACAGTAGGATTCCCTCATAAGGTACCCGAATTTCGGAAACCCCTATTGTTGCTGTGTTGAGGGGAATTGTGTCGATATGGAAACTCTGCGTCACAGAGTGTACAGCAACGAAGGCAGCAGGTGTTCCTTTCTGGCTAGTCTTGGAGTTCTGCCCGAAAAGCCTTAAACCCTAAGCCCTAAAACCTAAACCCGAAAGGCCTGTAAGCGTCCAGTCGTGGGCACAGGCAAGCGCGCTTCGACTTTTCAACGTCCAGCCAGATTTTCCCAAACAGCGAACTTAAGTCGCTGGAAACAACAAGAACCCTACAACCTCCTTGAACTAAGGGAAGAGTAACCCTGAACCCTCCTTGAAACCCTAAACCCTAAACCCTAAACCCTCCTTGAACGAAGGTTAGAGTACCATGATCTTTTGGGTCTCTTTGAGATGCTCGACGATGGCGATGGTGAGATATCAATTGACGAGCGACTTGGCATGCAAGAAACTCTGGTGGACCGTTACGCTTCATTCAGGGCTTAGGGGTTAGGGTGACATTGAAGACGATTTTGCCCCGGATGCGTTTTAAAAGGCCGGGGGGGAGGGCTACTTATATGATCCCCCTGATCCCCAGCATTGGCATGTGGTGATGTTCCCAGATGTGTGCTACGTGACAGGTGGGCTCGCTTCTTTGGGCTTGCTTCTTTGACCCCAGCAAGCCACCCATGTTCACGAGGTTCAATTTAACGCCCAAACAGCGTACAGTCGCCAAGCCCTAGAGCTCAACCACTCGCTGGGGCGCCAGGTTCCTCGAGAGTGCACGAAGATTGAAAGGGCCCGCCAAGGCCTTCGTGTTGAGAATCATGCTCTTCTTGTTTTGGCTTAGTGTTTTGAGGGTTGAGGGTTTGCGGCCCTCTGCCTTTTGAATCCCTGAAGAGATGCTGCACCTGCAGTCTACAGTGCCAGCTCCCACACTACAGATCAGAGGAGTCATACCTGGATCCCTGAGAATGTACCCCTGAGAGGTTCCCTGAATACACTCCTAGTCTGGCCCTTTTCTTCCCTCAGAGGATGTTTCAAAAGGGTCCCCAAGCCCAAGGGGATATGTACCTTATAAGGGTTCCAAGGTAGAACCACATGAAGAAAAAAAACATGCCCCCGCGGTTCTTGGAGCTTTTGTTCGGCTGCTGGTCACCTGCTTTTGTTCTCTGGCCTTTCGCACTTAATCCTCTAGTGCCTTGAAGATCATTCCACCAGGGTTTAGGGTTTAGGGTTTAGGGTTTAAGGTTTAGGGGCTCCGAGTTCAGCAGGGCATCGTTCTAGCGCTCGAGAGGTATTGAACTTTGGTTGCGCGACTTTGCTTGAAAGTGCTGTCGCTCTGGTTTGCTCGTCTTACCCGGCTAAGGGTTTGCTGTCCCGAGATTGACAGGCCATCGACATGTTCAGAATGGAGACCAAAGTTGAGCTGCTGTTGGCGCAGGCACGTGCCACGACTTCTGCCAGGGCAATTTTTTTTCGGGGACCCGAGAAATTGAGGGCATTTTTTCTGAATTTTGCTTCCCAGGATGTCATGTTGCTGCAAGCTGGATGGGTGTGTGATGGTGTGTGGGATTTAGCCAGAAGAGGCTTGAAACCCCCTTCCGATTAATAACTTTAAGGCCCTCTAGAAGATGCGCAGGAGGTTTGTGCCAGGTGGCGGGAGATCTCGGAAGCATCTTTGTGGTAGATCACATTGGGCAGCGAGCAAAGGATGCAGACCTTCAGCTGGGCTACAGGGGCTGCCAGGGAGACTGCTTAGGTCTTGCTGCCAAATGCCACCGCGCCAGGTCCTGGCAAACACCTCGCCCAAAACGGCTCGCTCCAACAGCAAGCCCCTGGGCCTTTCCGCTGGTTTGAACTCGAGATTGGACAGTTGGCAAAGTTGCGTGAATGCGAACCTCCGCGAGCCAGGTCAGATGTTGTGAGACATTTCTGAGGTGTCAGCTGAGAAGCGCTCTCTTCCGCGGCAGCCAAGGACTTTTGAGTCTCTGTTCAAGGCCGCTGGCATCTCGAGGGAGAGCCATGGCTTCGGGAAGGCCTCAGACCGACTCCTTGGGTTTAGGAGGTCAGTTAGGGCCACAGTCAAGAAGCGGGGGTGTCCGAAATTGGGGGCACCTTATGGCGGTCCTTACTAGAAGGGGATCCTACTGTTTGGGGGTCAATCTATGCAGGAGCAGTCAGAAACATGACAATGGGCCCAAGGGTAAGGGTGCTAAGCTAAGCTCCCCTACTTCTGCAGCAGGTGATGGCTGTGGCTGAGGCTACAGCATCAGAGCACGATCCTGAGTCCAAGCACTAGGCCTTTGTGCTTGAACGGAGCTCTCAGAGAGGATATTGGGCGTCTGGACTCGGTTTAGGGTTTAGGGTTTAGGGTTTAGGGTTTAGGGTTTAGGGTTTAGGGTTTAGGGTTTAGGGTTTAGGGAGTCTGGACCCTGGTGGGTGCAAGGCGCCCGTCAGGCATCAACATTGGTTTTCTCTGTCCCACCAGCCAAAGTTCCACCGGCAGCCCGACATTGCCTTCGGTTGAAGCGGGACTAGTCGTAGTCTCCAGTTCTCCCACTGCGAACCAAGCCAGGAACCCAAGGCACGCTCATGAAGTAACCAGGATGAGCTATGATAAAGACCTTAAAAGTCCCCATAAGGAACCCTGTAAAGGGCCTTCTGAGGGATCATAGGTTATAATAGCCCATCCTGGTACAGCAAACGGAAATCATGTGCTTCGGAATGTGCCACATGCTGCTCTTGCACTAGGAGCGGCATGTTTTCAGGCTTGTTTTTGCTGAATCTCGTGAACCTCCTGGGTGGCCAAAGGCCCAGGGAGGCTTTCGAGCTAGCGTGGGCATGTCCCAAACCTCTGGTTGAGAGACTCTGCGTTCTTGCTGGGAGGCTTGATGAAGGGGTTAGAAGTGTTTTTGAGCTTCAAGAAAGCAGCGAGGGGTTTGAGTTCCCCCCCGTTTCCTCGCCCTTTGGTGAAAGGGCTCTCTTGCGTAGTCTCACCTTTTCAAGAGGCACAGCCCAGATTCCCAATCGCCGAATCTCCAGGTGCTTTGCTCTTTGCTGTGTCTTTCTGTGTAGGACATTCCCTAAACCTTCAACCCTAAACCCTAAACCCTAATCTTGGGGAGGCAAAGAAAAAGGGCACCTTTGGCACTTGAACCTTGACCTCATAGGTATTTGTATGAACACTTAATACCAGGACCTCCTGGCTCTCAGTCTGAAAACTGAGGCCATAACCCGTGACAGCACGGAGCTTGCGGAAAAGGGCGCCCACCTTAGGGGTTTAGGGTTAAGGGTTTGGGGTTTTCAGCTTTCCTGAGCTCCATGAGCGCACAAGTGTCTGCATATCCTGGGCAGTCAAACTCGCATACCTCGCATCCCCGAAGACCCCAAGCCCCAGAAATCCAAGAACTTGTCGTGGAATGGTTTTAGGGTTTAGCGTTTAGGGTTACTGCAGACCCCGCGCCATCCCACGCCCTAATCCCTGGCACCCCCAACCCTCGAACCTCGTCCCAGATCTTTCTAACTCTGCAGAGACGCTGAGGGGATGTAAGGTAGCCCAACTCCCCAAAGAATTTCCCGAGGAACAAGTCTAGGAATCTCCATCCAAGGTCGATGTTCCAAGAGGCCCCTAGCCATGCCTTCACTGTCAAGATTGGTCCTGGTGAGACCGCGGCAAGGCTGGGGATTGTCCAGGACAGGTTTCGGGTTTAGGGTTTAGGGTTTAGGGTACAGGGTACAGGGGTTTAGGGCTTAGGGGATGTCGTGGGGGCTCGAAGATGATGGCAGCTCGCGATTTTTGATGTGCAACAGCAACCATATGAAAGACAAGAACAGCTCAGTAATTAACAAACAAAAGTGGTATCACTTGCTGAAGAACACTCAACGAAGCGGAAGATCAGAAGATGGAAGCAGCAGTACTAATGACAACAAGGCGTCTTCGACAAGATACTCAGTACAGAATAACAAGCACATGTCATCGTCATACTCATCTTGAATAATTGTGCTTGGGGGGGGTCTTCAAAACCCAGAACCCGAAACCCTAAGCCCAATACTTGGCCCTAAACCCTTTGCCTTATGCTCAATGATGCCATGGAGCCATGTCCCTCCAGGTATCGCTTGCCGGCTCCCGCAGATGTTCGGCGTTTTCTCTCCCTCATTGCGGCCCCTGGTCTCAAGGAGCTTGCTAGAAAGGCCCGCTCAAAGCGTTGCGCCACATGCGGACCGCGCATGAAGGATTCCAGGATTTCCCCCCTCCATGACCTGATCCGAACTTAAAAGAAGGAGCCGAGCCACGCCTAAGAACCCTAAACCCCAAACCCCCCCCCCCCCCCCATTTCCCAGGACCAGGCCTCAACAGCGGCGGCAGAGGAGGGTGGAGAGGACGTGGAGTCGCACAGCCGAGGCGAGAGCGAAAAGCATCGCGTCCGTCTCCGCGTGTGTCAAAAGCGAACTTAGGGTTTAGGGTTTAGGGTTTAGGGTTTAGGGTTTAGGGTTAGGGTTTAGGGGGATAAGGTTGGGATGTTCCCTCGTATACTGACAGTCCTTAATCGGGACATATAGAGATTCTACTAGGGGTACGAGAACCCCCATTATGGACTAAGGCTCAAGGTTTCTAAGCTCCAGAAAGCCCCGTGGATGTCAGGCGATCAGCACCGCGACTCCGAGAAAATCTGTCGCTTCCATTCCTTTAAAGACGAGGCTGGGGAGAGCGAGACTTTTTCCGAAGAAGCTGATTACTTTGGGAGACTACATGCTAGGTGACTTTGGGGGTGTGGGAAACGCGCCGTTATCTGCACCAGAGCCCAAGACGCACCACTTCTACAAGCCCCAAACCCCGCGTAGCTGGAGTGCTTGAGAGAAAGGGCCTAGGAGGTTGCCGTAGAACTCCTGCTGCGTGGCTGCTTATGGTGCCGTGTGGGATGACAGCGGGGGTTGATGGCTACTCCGTCGGCGATTTCTGGCTCTTGTGAGCGTGAATGGGGGCCCTTCCGTTTTTCTCAGGATCTGCTCAGCAGGTACCTCGAACCTTAGAAACCTCAAAGCCCGACCCTAAAGCACGAAGCAGCCTTAACCGGGGTAGGTTTGAACATAACTTTTATTTCCTACTACCCCTCATCCCCTATATAACCCTCACAAAGTCATAAATGCTTTAACTTTTGAGCCCCCAAAACCCCAGCCACGCCGACTCCAGGAGAAGCACCGGCGTCTTTCGGCCTGGCACAGTGTCGCCACTTGGTCGGTAATACGGGGGTCCGAAGGGTGGCTAAGAGTATTCCCTGTATCTGGTCCCTATATCAACATTCTACAGGAACCCCCCCCCCCCCCCAAGGCGTTGATCGTTTAGGCCCCCATATTACAAGGCCGCACGGCCATTTGACGGGTTGAAGGGCGTTTTGGGGGTTTAGTCCCGTTTGAGGGCAGTCTGTGTTAACAAGGTCGATTGCGAGCTCGAAGAACTGGTTCAGGCGTTTCGCAGACAACGTTTGAAGCACCTCGTGCATCCGAAAAAACCCTGGACGTTCGAAAAGATCAGTCATGGTCAGAGCTTCCATAAGCCCGCAACGACCTCGCAAAAAAAGAAGAAGTACAGATCAGAGCGCACTCCTTCCAAAGTGAAGATGAAGGCTGTTGTCCTTAAGCAACCCTAAACCCTAAACCCTAAACCCTAAACCCTAAAAATCCTTTCCAACGTCGTCAGGACATCAGGGATCCTGATGAGGCCACGCAGCCATTCTTAGCCTGACACGGTCATGTAGGGCCTTATGGGGGGCGAATTGTTGAGGGAGTTTAGGGTTTAAGGTGGTAGGGGAATTGTTGAGGGAGGAGTGTTTGGGGGTAGGGTTTTTGCTCCAGGTATATGGGTAGATTTGGGAAAGTTTGGGGAGAGGATGTAGTTGAGGACCCAGGCTTCTGCATTGAGACCCCTCATTGGAGGTGGATCTTCCCTAAACCCTAAACCCAACTGTCGAGATTCAAAGCCTCATTTTCCGAGGTACTTCAGAGAGAGAGAGAGAGAGAGGGCTCTGCACCTACGCCTAAACCCCATCCCCGTCAACCCCACAAGCCCTAAGAACTCGATAAAGCCTATAAAATCCCATAAACCCTAAGAACTCGATAAAGCCTATATAATCCCATAAACACTAAGAACTCTATAAAGCCTATATAATCCCAGACACCCTAAGAACTCTATAAAGCCTGTAGGCCCTACAGATCCTCTAAGCCCCTATGACATCAAGCCCCTAAACCCTAAACCCTAAACCCTATGACACCCCAAACACCCTGCTCTTGCGGAGAGGCTTGATCCTGGGGCGAACCTTGAGCCTCACCGGGTTTACTACTATGTGCCTAAGAACCCCAAAGAAAGATAAACAAACACACATAGAAAATAAATACATACAACAAAAAATAAGTAATCCCTATATTACCCTTATGAGGAAGAAAGTTGTTTTTTTTTTGGGGGGGGAGGGGGTTCTCAAGCAATTAGTAGTTTATTGTCAGATGGGATGTGCCAAGATGTGAGGGTCCATCTCAAGGGGCCCGACTATCAAGAAAGCACGCACGCAAGATTTTGACGAGCCAGCTAGATCTTCTCCGCTGACTAAGCGTTCATGTCTCTGTTTGGACGTTTGCCTCTACACTGCTTCGATGAGTTGTGAGGACAACGACCCCGAAGCCGACGACCCGCTCGCTGCCCTTGGAGAGACCGAGGAGGCATAAAATTCCGAGAATCACGAGGCGGCGTTGGGGCTGAAGGGTAGTCATTCAGGGTTCAGGGTTCAGGGTTTAGGGTTTAGGGTTTAGGGTTTAGGGTTTAGGGGGTTTAGGTCCTGTGTAACTGTGCCATAAAAAGGAAAAGTGCACTAGAGCCGTTTATTGCTGTGCATCTCAGTGTGTAGTCCTTTGCCTCTCATGTGGGTTTAGGTGCCCTCTGAACTCTTCCTATCGCAAGACTGTTGCATCTTAAATGCCAGCGCGAGGCCTTCAAACTTGCAGTTCACCTGCACCATTAAACCTCATCATCTACTAGGTGGGCTATTAGGCCTTATAATCCCCATAATGATCCCTACAAAGGGCCTTTTAAGGGATTATAGGGTATAATAGCCCATCCTGGTAATCAGAATCTGTAACCACAAAGCCACATTTCCGCCATATGCGCTGCTAGCAGGAACGTGCCTGGGTACCCCGTGCGAACGGGCATAAGACCGAGTTTCACCAAGATGTTTTTGGCCGTGCATGTCAGGGAAGCTGTGTTCTTTAAGGCTTCCACCCTGCACCAGAGCACGAGCCACAATAGGCAAAAGCTGAAAGCAGGCTGAATGGCAAGGCATGAAGCTTACAAGGCTTAAGGGGTTTCAGGTCATGGTTCTAGCTTTTGGATTCTGTGCAAAGCATATGGGGCCTCTTTGGAAACCGTGCCATTTGGGGATCCCCTCCATTGTTTCGAGCTCGCATGCAGCAGAGCAGAAAAGAATGGAACAGCTCTGGTCGGCCAATCTCTTGACCTAGCCCAAAGAGAGTGCTTGCCAAATCTTCGCAACTGCAGGATCTTGCTTCAAGCACGCAGTGGCTGCGTGTGGGATATCCTTTAGCTTCAAGTGAGAACTGGATGCGGCTGCGAGGCGATCCTTACAGTGGCTACAGCATACGTTTCAGCTCTACGAGGTAGGAGTCAAATTCGCTGTTGTAGTTCTGCGTCGGCGTGCGCTCAGTGAAAGCTTCGAGCCCACAGTGACAGCAGCATGCTTCTTCGAAGTATTGACAGCGCATGAGCTACACTAGCCGAGGCGACACATTGCTGTAGGAACGGGCTGGTATAGAATCGAGACGCATCGTGACGCCATGTCTCCAGCCATGACCATCTTGCTGCCCCTCTCGGCAGCAGCCTTTGCAGATGTCGCTTGGGCTTGGGATCGAAGCGCGTGTGGAGCCTTCCTACTAAGGTAGGAATAGGATGGAAGTCCCCTTCGAATGTCTGGCTCACGACTTGCGAAAGCTAAAGTGCTGGAGGCGGGTTCCCTGCCGCCTCCTGGGCCGCTGCCCTGCAGTGCCTGTGCCTCCGCCAATGCTATGCCACACGAGAGACAGAGAGACGAACAGACAATGAAAAGAAAACGCGCCTGCAAACAACTTCCTGTCGCTGCAAAATGATGAAGATGGGATAATGATTTCACTGACACCTCCCAAAAAAAGCTTTGTCATCTGACCGAAACAGCTGTCCGCTGCCAAGCATGATCTGCCTCCGCGCAAGCTGGGAGGCCTTTGGGCGGCCAAAGCCTTGCGAGCAGCGCTTTTGGAGAAGATGCCAAAGCGCGGGGTTTCCGGTGCCTTCTTGGGCTTGGGGCTTTGAATGGACTGAAATGATTGGACCAAAGGACCCAAAGTGCTTTTTTTGGGAGTTAGGATTAGAGTGGATTAACTAGTGAGGGCAGGGAGAATTCCCTCGAAAGTTGCTCCAGGCGCGTCAAGGCGAAGCAACGGAGGAGCTTAGCGGAGGAGGTCGGGCTCGGTACGCTGTTTTGAGGTTGTAGGGTTTAGGGTTTAGGGTTTAGTTAGGGTTTAGGGTTTAGGGTATTCCTTCATCCAAACAAGATCAACCGAACTTGGGCTTGCCGTCTTCTCGCGGAAGTCTCTGACGGGCGTGGGCGTTTGACTGGGCTTAGGATCTTTAAGATCAGCTGATTGTTTATACAGGCTCAGGCTTCCGAGTTGGCCCTGAACGCGTAGTATTGCAGCGCTCCGCTTGTTGTGCAGATGCGGGGTATGTTGCCTCTCGGCAGACTTGACCGTCCCTCTCGGCGCAGAGGCGCTTGCGGGCGCGGCGGACGCTTGCGCTGCCAGGCGGTTCCCGAAGCAGGCGCCCCATCGGATCAGCTTGTTGGATTGTTGCCTGGAAGATTTTTCCCCGCATCCCGCATCCCTTTAGGCCTTAACTTTCAGGGTTTAGGGTTTAGGGTTTAGGGTTTAGGGTTTAGGGTGCTGTGCAAGCAGCTGCTCTTTTCTGGCATTCCCCACCCAGCCCAGATGGAAAAAGGGTTTTGTTGTTCTAGTTTCCGACTGTTTGCCCTTCCTCTTGGCGGCAGATGCCATATAGGGTTCAACCATGTAAACCCTCAGTCTGGGAAAGTTGCGAGGTGGTGCTGTGGGAGCCGCCATCGTCTGGGCGAGAGAGGCTCCTCAGCTCTACGATGAGGGCCTCCTTGTGTAGCTCACGTTGTGTTTCTGACACAAACAGATTTCGTTTCAAACGACCTGACATGCCCTTCTATTTCAATGGGTGCTGCCCTGGAACCCAGCCTCGCCTCGAAAAGAGGACGCCGCCGAGCTATCAAGACTTTGACGATGTGCGCGGTGGCAAGTCGAACTCTCTCACGTCGCTCGGCCTTAGTGCGCTTCTGCGACCGGTTTTGCTTTTCCATGCACTTGCCGCAAGTACACTAGTAATGGCATACTTCGAAAAAGAAGAAGTAAGAGGTGTTGTGGAGACCCAGGTAGGCGTCAGCGCGAAACTTACTATTCCAGGCAGTCAACAATTCCTTGTGCACATCTTCTACTTGATACCGAGCTACTTGATGACCACAAGGCAAACATACGATTTCCCAAGATACGTGATCGTGCTATTATTTCATACCCCAATAATTTCACATCCTGATCGTTGGAACCCTTAATTTTCGGAAGTGTACGTGCAAAGCTCACGATGCAGGAGAGCCGCGGAGTTGAACATGTCTATATGCTACTGTGCCGTGATTGCCCTTTAACATACTACGGCAAATATGACTGGTACTACTCAAGTGTTGCGATGATTACGATACCTACGAGCATCACAAAAGTTTCGATTTCTTCTTCCCTAAACCCTAAACCCTAAACCCTAAACCCTAAACCCTAAACCCTCCGAACTGCAGGAGCGAACATTTCCAGCTTCTGGGGACCAGCCAGGCCGCGAAGGGCAACCTCACCGAATCTTGGTTCCCGCCGTGTGTCTTCAGGATGCTATGTTGGGTTTAGGGCCTTAAGGGTTGCTATAAGTTTGGGCTTCAGGGTGGTTTGCTCTAACAAACTTAAGAGATACATGCTGGCATATGATACAGCAGCAAAAGTGGAAGTGGCACAAACACCAGCCAGGATTTTGCTTTTTCTTTTGCAAAGCAAGCTTGATGTGACCGAATATGAGTCGCGCAATAGCTTGAAGTTGACAACTTAAATTCATCGGATAGCTTACGACCAGGCAACGTACGTTATGATTGCAAATGAGGTTGCAGTGACAGCACAGTTGTTTACGACTGCAAAGAACAGCGTGTGCCGGGTTGCTCAAAGCATGACCGGGCAAACTGTGAAGCGCATGACGAAAAAGATGAGCATGTCTCCCTTCCAGAACCACAAGGAACGAGGAGTACCTGCAAAGAAGTTAGCACCGTCTGTCCAACTCGGCGTGGAGTAGCGAAGCCAAGGAGCTGTGTGCTATGCTCGTGAGGCATCGCCGCCAGTAGGGGTCTTGCCTTTGCAGGGTTTAGAGGCCGAGCGAGTCTGTGGCATCGGATTGTCTTGAGCGGGTCACCACTGGTGCTTGCATGTGCTCGAAAGATTCAGTGATGGGGTTTTCAGGTTTGCGTGTCTAACGTAGTTGCTCCACCAATGGTAGCAGCGCAACGAACGTAAAGGACGGACCACTCTCGGAAGTCGAAGTGACTACATGTGGCTGTTTACGAAAATAGGAGACCCCTGAAAATTCCCCCTAAAACAAGGACCCCAACGGCGTGCCCCTATTCAAGATTCCCCTTAAAATAAGGACCCCAATAAGGTGCCCCAATTAACGATTCCCCTTAGAGTAAGGACCCAATAAGGTGCCCCTATTAAAGATTCCCCCCAGAACAAGGACCCAATAACGTGCCCCTGTTGTCGTAAACCCCCCGGTGTGCCAGGACTTTTGCCGAGGACATGGTCGACAAAGCAGCTCGGCACGAGGTCGGCCGGGGAGGAAAAAGCCTCCAGACCAGGATGGGCTATTTTACCCCATAATCCCTTAAAAGGTCCTTTATAGGGTTCATTATGATCATACCCTATATTCCCTTAAAAAGGCCCTTTGTAGAGTTCATTCTGGGGATTTTTTGGCCTAATGGCCCCTCCTGGTAAGAGATTGATTTCCTACTGTGTGGCAAAAAGGCTTTTTCCTGGCAGCTGTAATCAGTAAGGAAGATCACCACTCACGGATCACCACGGCACACCCCATCCAGCGCTGTGGCCAGGGCCGCATGTATGGGGCGCTCACCGAGCATTGGCTGTGTTTCCGGAAAGCACAGCTCTGCACCATGAAGGAGCCCCAAAAAATTTTTTTCCTGCTATTTTTTCAGCGTTTTGGATATGAGTTGAGGAATCGAACCTTTGGGGGCTTCACAGGCAAAAGGTTTCTGTCTTTTTGGGGGGGAAAGCGAGCTGCACGGTGGAAGCTCAATTCTTGCGTTCTCCATATGGAATGTTCTCAAATCTTGAGAGCCCAAATAGGTACGCAAAGGGCTCATACAGCTCATACTTTTGTTGAGCATTTCCCATATCATAGTTTTGCCGCTGGGTACTATAGATTCAAAGACCTAGATCGCGTTTGCATCAAATCTACCCACCCCAACTATACACACTGCATGTCGACAGCCTCAGCTCGGATTGAAATCCACAGAACCTGTTAACCCATTGAAGGTTTGTCGACAGGGAGACTGGGGTGTCCGAATCAAGGGGCTGTTGGGGATTGGTCCGAACCCCTAGACTCGTCAGCCGGATTCCCGCGTGAGATGGGGGGAGGGGTGGGTGGGGGGGGGGGGGTTGTTCAAACCCTAAACCCTAAAACCTAAACCCTAAACCCTAACCCCCTTGAAACAACCGCTGAATGATGCCGCAGGGGGGGGGGGGGGGGGGGGAAAGAGACCAGACTGCGAGTCAGGAGGCGCCCCCGGGCAAGGACGACGATGATGAAGAGGAGTTGTAGCAAGGCGCAGCAAGCTCTACCCTAAGGCCTATAAATGCAGAATCCCACCAAACAGGATCAAATGTTGACCTCACCCCTGCTGAGACCGACTGCGCTAATCGTTCAGATCGAGGTGGCTAGGAGTTTGTGCGTCTCATTGCGGAGTTTTTTGGGCGCAGTCTGTCATAGTCCTCATACTCTTCCTCGCCCCTCGCCCCTGCCAAAATGGCGGGTGAAGATTTCGAGCCGAGGGCAGAGTCCAAGCACCGTGCATGCAACTCTGGAGAAAGTTCAATTTTATGTCTCATCTGAGCCGAGGTCACATTTGGGGGGTTTTCCCAAAATAGGGGGGTACTGCACCCTTTTTTGGGGCGTCCCTTTAAGGGGAGTCTACTCTAGTTGGGGGGTACCCCCATATGTTGGGAAGTGCCCATTTCTCCACCCCAGGCTCCCACAAACCCGAACCCCCACAGCGCCCAGGCCACTGCACGCCTTTGGGAGCGGCTGTGGCAGGTGCTCTATGCAGAGGGATGTTTAGAGGAGACCCCTCCCAACAAGGAGGCCTTAGGAGGGCTAAGGAGATCTCTGAGGGCCGAATCCCTAAGGCCCTCAACCCTAAGCCCTAAACCCTAAACCGGTCCCAACCTCCCAGAAAAACACCCGGAAGGCCTATCTGTGTGCTGTCAGGTGGAGGCTTCCTCACAGCCGTAGCCTTGGAGTCTCCAGTACAGCTTCCGGTGGGTTCATAGGGGTTGAGGGTTTAGGGTTTAGGGTTCTTTTACCGAAATTAGGGGGACGCCTTCAAAGAAGTGGGATTCCCTCATAATGAGGACCCCAAGAAGGTACCCTGACTTCGGAAAGCACCATATTGCAATACAGCATAAGAGGCAGGTGTGGAGTTTCAATGTTGCGCTTCTGCGGGACGGGCCGGAAGTGCATCATGGCCCGGTTTGCTTCTTCATAGTCATATGTGTATGTGTGTGTGTGTGTGTGTGTGTGTGTGTGTGTGTGTGTGTGTGTGTGTGTGTGTGTGTGTGTGTGTGTGTGTGTGTGTGTGTGTGTGTGTGTGTGGTGTGTGTGTGTGTGTGTGTGTGTGTGTGTGTGTGTGTGTGTGTGTGTGTGTGTGTGTGTGGTGTGTGTGTGTGTGTGTGTGTGTGTTGTGTGTGTGTGTGTGTGTGTGTGTGTGTGTGTGTGTGTGTGTGTGTGTGGTGTGTGTGTGTGTGTGTGTGTTGTGCGGTGCGTGCGTGCGTGTGTGCGTGCGTGCGTGCGTGCGTGCGTGCGTGCGTGCGTGCGTGCGTGCGTGCGTGCGTGCGTGCGTGCGTGCGTGCGTGCGTGCGTGCGTGCGTGCGTGCGTGCGTGCGTGCGTGCGTGCGTGCGTGCGTGCGTGCGTGCGTGCGTGCGTGCGTGCGTGCGTGCGTGCGTGCGTGCGTGCGTGCGTGCGTGTGTGCGTGTGTGTGTGTGTGTGTGTGTGTGTGTGTGTCGGCCTGGGGATGTGGAGGCACAGACGGTGCTTCGCAGCTTTGAGAGCATTTGTTGGAGAAACTGTTAGGGGAACGCAGACCAAATCCACCACAGAGGTGTAGTTCTGCAAGGTGGTCATAGAAGTCCCTCTAGCCCTTCTGCCCCAAGTCGAGGTGTGCCATCGGGTGAGCTGTGATGAGGCTTGAGTCCTGCCATCCTCGACAAGCTCCTAGATCCAATCACGGCAGTAGGGTTTAGGGCTTAGGGACTAGCATGGCACAGTATCTGACCACCCTGACATACCCCAAACAAGAGATGCTTATCCGAAAGCCATCCAAAGCACTGCTCGCCCACTGTACTTAACCTGTCTGAGAGGTTCGCGCAAATTAGCTGGAAGGCACAATGAAAGTATCCCTACAGGTCCAGGGTACATGTGCAACGTCGGGTCCATAGGGCTGTATGCCTGCCGGCGATGACACAAGTTTACGGACACGAGAGGGGGCTGATGGGACTTGGGGGGTAATAAATTCGACCAAGGATGGCGCAGCAGTCGATGCAAACCATGTGCCGCTGAGACCCTACTTCAAAAGCTTGTACAGTCTTGTGCCCACAACTCTTCCAATCATCCTCCAGTTCACTAACATGCATCGTTCCTGCGCGCCCTTGGTATTGGATTGTTTGTTGCTATGTGAAGCTGCATGTCCTCATACCCGGAAGCACTTGGTATCTTTGGACTCCAAGGTCGCTTTGAAAGGTGAGAAATCTCAGGCTACTTAGAGGGGGTCGTTTGCCACATGAGTTCTTGACGGTTATAGTGCAGTAACATGTCATGATCCTTTGTGCCTCTGGGCAACCCCCACTGCCGAACCCTCCGCAGCTAATTCGACTCGTCGGCTTCGAATTCAGCTTCGTGATCGCGCTGCCTGCAAGCAGGCGCCAGTGCCGTGCCATTTGGATTCCAGGGAATGTGCTAGGCGGGCTGGATCACCCTAGTTTGGGGGTGCAGAAAAGGTTGCCACTTTTAGGCTGCCCGCCCTCAGACTTAACTCTAACCCGGCTGGCTGCTAGAGGCCTGGATGCAAAAGGCTGCCTTGTAGCTGTCAGACAGGACGTTCCATGCTGGAAACCGGTGCTGGTCTGCTGGCACGCAGTGCATGCTTGGCTTACGGCACCGCGGTGAAAACACAACCACATCAGCCCTCCAAGCTTGTCAACGCAACGGCTGGGCTCTTGAGAGCGTCACGGGCAAGAGGAAGCACCGAGAGGGTCGTTATTCGCGAACGGAGGTTCATCAGATTGCTTTCTTATATGTTTTGTTGAACGGCTCGTCTTGACTCCCAACTTCAGAACCCCACGAGTACATGGGGTTTGGGAAATATTGCAGAAACATATGACGTAGGGTTTATATTTTCCCCAAAAGGACACCAAGTATATAGACTCACCAAAATTAAAAAAGGAACCTTACATACACTCACCAATAACAGTAATACAAACCTTGTTTCATATAGGGGCGTGAGGGCAGCTGAAGGTCGGGATGTCCCCTGTCGAGATGCGCTGTTGCTCGATGAGCTTGCTTTTGGCTCCGATGGTCCTCCGAAACTTAGCCCCCAGGCCTGCTTTTTTTGTGGTGCGGTTTCGGGTTTAGGGTTTAGGGTTTAGGGTTTCGGGTTTAGGGTTTAGGCTTTCTTAACCTTTTTGAAGATGGCGAAGGTGGTACTCATGAGGTGTGAGATCTTGATCAACCTCTGTCGTGGTCCCATCGCTGCTTTGCCTCAACAAGGGCCATGCTGACATTCTAAGATGGCCTGGCCCTAAACCCTAAACCCTGAACCCTAGACGAGATTTGGAGTCGAGTCGCTTGAGTGTAAGGCTCACAAGGTCCGCAAGATTCCACAGCATTCGCATTCTATGCAATTGTTCGATGTATTGGTATGTTCCCCCTTATAGGGACAGTCCTGCAGTCCCTCATAGGGATTCTAGTACCCCCTAATTTAATCTGATCCCTATAAATATTCCTTGCAAATAGGGATTCTAGGTCCTTAATAGGGATTCTAGTACCCCCCCCCCCCCCCCAAAGTATAATCCCTCTGAAGGTATCCTGCATTCTTTCCATTGGTTCTGGTGTGCTTAGCACCGGAACCTCTGCGCCATGGACAGGGACAAGAGCCCCTTGGGCAAGCCCCGAGTCCCGAAAGCCAAGGCAGCCACTCTAAAATTTTGAGATCTTGGGTTAGGGGTTTAGGGTTTAGGGCAAAGAAGGGTTTAGGGTTTAGGGTTTGGGGTTTAGGGGATTTCTCGATTTCGAGACCCTAAACCCTGCAGAAACCCGAAACCCTGGGTCTACCTCAAGTCTCCCAGAGTGCACTGAATCCCCGAATTCACGTCGTCCTGTTGATCTCCTCACTCCTGGTTTTGGGTGGGTTTAGGGACTTCCTAAACCCCCAAAGTATTTACAATACTGGCCCTGAATGGCTTTTGGGCATTTTTTTTTCCATTCTTTGGGGGTCCGGGTCCAGGTTACTTTCCTCAAGCCTACGGAATCCTACTGGCCTTCGGCCCCTAAACGCTGCAGGGCCGCGCCAAAGAGCTAGAAACCCCCGTGTTTTTAAACTCATCCTTGTGAGCCCCTCCGAACTTGAACCTGAGGAATACGTGGCACGCTCTTCAATATTCCGAGGGTCGTGAATGAAGTGTGCGCCGGAAGAGTGGATTCGAACGGTATTTCTCTTAAACCCGTCCAAAGCTCTGCACAATGTTGATGCCTGGCTCAGAGGGGCTACCGCGGCCAGGATACGGTACAATGCACAATCATTAGTTATTAGGAATACACCTTAAGTTACATGGATTCTTAACATTTTAAGGTATGTTCCTTAATTCAGGGGCATTGGGCTCTTTGAGTCCTCCCGCCGGCCAACGTGGCAGGCCAGGTCCACGTCGCCGGGCCGTGAAGGGAAGTCGGCGTTCGGCAGTGTCCTTGGAGAGCTCACGCGGCTTGCATTTTGCACTGGTGAAAGGTTCTTGCAATTTGCATGGCTTTGTGAGTGTGGGATGCCGGTTCTGCGGAGCTTATGGTAGCCCATTTGGCATTGGTGAAAGTAAGTCTGTCCCGCAAAGCTAAATGCACGACAACGAGAAGCGGGCTCGGGGGTTCGCAGGGTACGGCACCAGCATGCTGGTATGCTCTGACCCATCAGTGCCGAGTCATCTGCACCAGGTAGGGCACCTCCAGCGCGCTCAGGCAGTTCCAGCGACAGGTGGGAGCGGTGGGAGAGGGAAGAAACCCGGCAACTTGGGCAAGGGTTCCCTTGCAGCTTCCCTCACAGAATATGCTTACTGTACCCTCACGTAGGACCACAAGGCTACCAAAGAAACTCAGGGTTGCCTCTATCAACTGCACCGAGTGATTGGAGGCGGGCATTTCAGGCGCTTCTCCAATGCCAGGCCTCAGCCCCAAATCCTGCAGAAGTCGCCGACAAATCGGGTTCGGTTTTTGGTCAGGGTTTGAGTGCTTGGGGTCGAAACCCAGAGGAGAGAGAGGAGAGAGAGATCTGCTAATACTGTCATTCTTGTCGGAATGCATATCGGTATGTTGTCCAAGTAATATGGTTAAATGCATGTTCTTATGATGCGTTTATGAACATACCAACCAAACTGTGTTTCAAATGGAACTAACATGTCTAAAAATCTATGTAAAACTATATTGCAGAATACTCATGAAACGCCAGTAAAATTGGCTACTTCTATTGGAAAATACTGTCATCAAGGAATGTAAATGACTTCACATCTGGTGCAGCAACATATGCAGCAGTTCGTGTCGTTACCAGCCGTTTTGATGCTGGAGAGTTATGTTTGTTTTGTCAAACTTCGGGATCCCACCGTCTACATGCGTCCTAAAGTCTTGCAAGCAGTGCTTTCAGAGGAAGCCCTCTAAAGTGTCCCCTAAGGCAAAGCACATGGCGAAGATCTTGGTGGAGCTTGATCATGGCGCCAAGGAGCCTTCGGAGTTAGCTGCGGGTGCCTGCGATTCAGGGCCTGCGACCTTGAGTTATAGTTGACAGTGCATTGTCATGGGCGGGCCCCGGATCGCCAGAAGTAAATTCGATCGGTTCGACCTGTAACGCGCAAATACAGGTCCAGTTCAATACGCTACAATGTAGCCTCACCGCCCTGAGACAAGGAGAGCTGCTGGGCTTGGTACATCTTCCCCACGGAGAAGGCACAGCATGCACGAAGCCTTTTTCTGGAGTGGCCTTAAGATATTTCACGCGGAATCCATTCAGCATGTGCTGGGGCCTTCGGTGTCTCAGATATGAGCAGACCAGGAAGGGATATCATACCCTATCATCCCTTAAAGAGGCCCTTGTAGGGTTCATTGTGGGGATTCTAGGGCCTAAGAGCCCCATCCTGGGAGGCCGGGATGTGCGACATGGACGAAACCCGCATCACCACGGAGAACGCCAAAGACCTCTGCGATGCTTCAGTCAATACCTCCGCTGGGCACTGGCAGCAGTGCCTGGAGAAGATCTGTGATCTCTTGGAGGCCCATTGCAAGGGTTTTCGGATTCTTGGGTTATAGAGCTTATAGTCAGGCTCAACCCTCAGTCTTGGGCTGACAAGAGAAACTCAAGGCTCCAGGTTTCTCTGTTTTTTATGAGAGGTCGGTAGAGTTAAGGGGTTCTCTCTATGGCACTATGGCTTGGAGTGGGGGGGTGTGCTTGGGAAAGTTGGGGACGGCACCCTCGAATCTAGGATCTCTGTGAGGAACGCAATGTCAAGCCTCCCGACAGCCACGTTCTTCCTCGTATCGACCACGGCCGCGTCCATTGGTTCGTCAAGTCTTCTGGCCATTTAGGGGGGTCTAGGGTCTTAGGGTTTGTGGCTTTCGGGTTTTCAGGGTGTCAGGGCCCGGGCTTGGGGGGTTTTAGGGCCTATAGGGTTTACAGACTGTAGACGGTCATCATCAATCTGGAAGCACAGGAGCTGCTCCTGTTGACGCCTGTGTGCGTCTATCCATGCGTATCACCCGTTTCAAGGCCCACTTAAGGCGCCTTGGAACATGCTGGTTGACATCGAAGCAAAAAATTCTCATCCCAGGTTCTGGCAAAGCTACGAATTCTCGCCGCCATGGATGCAAGAGGCCTTTGCGTGCATGCAAGCGCCCTGCTGTTTCTTCCATCTCAACATTCTCAGCCGGGCCGGGGTATTCCACAGCAGCACCTGTGGTTGCATATTACAAGTACAGTCTCCAACACCGTGACGACCAGCACGCAAAAATCGGAGTGGGGGCAACACAAAAGTTCTTCCAACGACTTTGTCCACAAGTGGACTCGCAGCTGAAAAAACGAAGCTCTCTCAATCAGTCCTCAATACAAGTTTAGGCTTTAGGGTTTAGGGTGTAGGGTGTAGGGTTTAGGGTAAAGTTTTTTTTGGCAGGTTTGCCGACGGTTGGACGAATTCGACTTCCCTCGGCACTGAGCAACCCGTCCTGGACATGATGCGGCCCTTGCCAGTCTCAGATTATCGTCCATTATTACTATTCCTATCATTACTATTATCATTACCATTACTATTATGATGATTATGATTATCATTATCATTATTATTATCATTATTCTAGTAGACCATGATTCCATGTTAGATAAAATGCATATGCAGAATGTCGAGAAAGTTGGTTTGGTGGCAACGCCGGCGCGCGCAATTCTGCTGGCGCAGGCACACCCGCCCAGGACAGGGACACCACACGGCCACGAAACATGTACAGGCGTGTGCAAAGAATCAAGCTCATTCAAAAGGATCCTTGCGTGGTAGGAGTACGTGTGCATCCTGCAAGCAGGCAATGGAAGCAGGCATTTCAGAAGTACTCGTCAGTGAATCCAGGTGTGAGGTTGCGATCGCTGATCATGTTGATGCGCGGCATCGTAAGCTCAAAGTTTCACAGGCTCTGATAAGCTACGTAGACCAGCATCCAGCAGCATCCAGCAGGCCCATATGCCCCGACCTTTTGGCGAAAAAGTGCGCAGGAGAAGCAGCTTCGAAGCTTCTGCGAGGCGACTAGAGTTCCCATCCGAAGCCTTTCGAAAACCCCTTGGGAAGCACCTTCACACCGACAGAATCACGGGTCTGCTATGGTTTGCTGAAAGCTGGAGCTGATTGGTGAGACTCTTGCTCCGCGCGGAGCTTGGATGAAGTTGAAGCAGTGATTTTGGTTTTTGCGGTTGTGTGGCGTGCGGGCAAGAGGTCAGGCTGTGCTCGCAGAACGGTTGCGGAAGCAAGTTGTCCGCGGAAGCTCATTGCGGAAGCTGTTGTTGTGACCCGGCAACAGGTCGGTTGGAGTTGTCAGCGGGGCGGATGAGGGTTCGTTGCAATCCTTAGAACGCTCCTCGCGCTTAGTGCTTAGCGCAGTTCCTTTCCTGGTGTTCGATATGTATATACATATATATGTACATTGTAAATACAAATATGAATATGTAAATAACAAATATATATATATATGTATGTATATGTACATATACATAAATAAATAAATATATATATATATATATATTGATGTATCTACAAATGTATTGTGTGTGCGGGGGGGGGGGGGGCGCGGTTGGGACGGCTGCTGGATCCCAACCCCAAGACTATGAACAATACTGCCCGTTCTCGCGGAAGCGGAGTCCCCTTGTAATGACCCCAATTTATTCACTGAAGATCCGCGGAAGCCCTCGGGCGTTTTCAAGGAATACAAGGCACCCGCTCAAATTGTTCTTTGATCGGTTCCTTTTCTTGACACAGCCAAGAGGTCTGCGCCATGTCATTGCTGGCTTCGGCGCAATTCTGAAATTCTGGGCCCAAGAAGGTTCTCGGGTTCTCACAAACCGTAGGCTCATGCGCACGCATCCTTCAACCTCGCACAGTTGCTGAATGCGGTCGCAGTCACAAGTGGAAGCCGCCTGCCTTCGGCCTGACGGTTCCCTCTTTAATGTCCCGATTCCTTTGCGGAGCCTGGTGGTGAAAGGCACCAGTGGCATAGCGGAGTGCGGCGAACGCTTAGCTCAGCAGCTGAGCTTCGGTCACTTCGGAGTACCAGGGGATGTGATGCCGCCAGGCGTGCGCTTGAGTGAGGTGCCTGGCGTCAGCGTCATGGTTTTGCAGCTGCGGAGTCCAGACAGGGGGTTTCTCTTGGCCGTGCGACCGAGCAAGAGCCTACCTCCTTTCCCGGAGAACACTGTTGCAAACCGAATGCTCTACAACCAGCAACTGCGTGTTTTCGGCTGTGCAGTCTTCACGCGCCACAACTATGACGCCCAGAGTGCGGCAAACAGCTATATTCCAATTGCTGTCACGGAAGCGAAGGCTTTGATTCAAGCGCTGCCTGGTAGTGTGGCGCTCGTCGCAGAAGCCCAACGGCTTGCAGCAGCTCGGAAGGCAGAGCGGGAGCTTGTGCATGAGTTCACTGCCCAGCCACTCGCAGTCTCGGCCGCCTCTGCCGCTGCTGACTCTGGCCGAACCTTCAGCATGCGCTCGTTCGGCACTAGCCAGACATCGAGAGCTGCCGGACCTACTATCCAGGCATCGAGTTCGAGTTCTGGTGCGCCGATGGCAAAAAGCACCCCATGCAGTCCCCCGACTCCCTCGCAGCCAGCCGCGAAAGCTCCGCAGCAGCAGCGAGGAACTTGGGGACCCACCACGCACCTCGACAGGAGTCAACGGAGTGGGATCTCACCTCCGTGGAAGACAACCCAACCAAGTGCCCAGACCCGAGCAGCTTACCCGGCTTGTCCGATCCCTGCCGATCCTTGCCCCATCTGTGTAAACACTTACCAGATGACGCATCACATCAAGCAAAAAGCCATGTGTTGCAAACAGCGTGTGTGCTCAGAGTGCAGCACAGAGATCTTGAAGCGAGCCGGCTTTGGCGGTCGGTCGCCTTGTCCCTTCTGCCGTCATGTTCCCCTAGAAGTGCAGAATGCAACCTCAGACACCGAGGATGCACAAGAGGTGGAAGAAGCGCGGCAAGCACGATTGGCTGAAGATCGCCAGCTCGCTGAAGTGTTACAAGACATTGAGGACGAAGGCATGGCATCATTCGCCAATCGGCTTGCTCGCCAGAACCCTCCGAGCGAGCCTTCAGGAAGGACGTGGTTGGGCGTGGCCCAAGAAGGCAAAGTTAAAGCTTTGGAGGCCGAAGTTGCCCAGCTGCGAAGGTTGCTCGCAGCAAGGCAGGCCCCAAGCGTTCCTAAAGCCCGTGCACAGACGAGCTCAAGTCCCACTAGGAGTCATGGCCTAGGCGGCGGAACCTTCAAGACAGTGCTTTGCCGTTATCACCAAATCGGCCGATGCTCCAAGGGCTCCGCTTGCACATACGCCCATGGCGAGGGTGACTTGCAGAAGCCGCACGCAGCCTACACAGCGCCCAGCAGCAGTTCGGCACCCGTCCGAAGAGAGCCGGCCAATTACAAGACTGTTCTTTGCGAGTTCTTTGAGCGAGGCTCTTGCAGGTATGGCTCTCAGTGCACATTCGCGCATGGCGCCGGCGACTTGCGGGCAACTGCAACTGGGCAAAGCCGAGGAGCAAGCAGTGCAGTCAAAAATTGGCTTGCAGCACGTAGCCTGTGTTGTCAGGCAGGGCTCGGCACCCGCGTAGCACAAACCATGGAGGGGCAGACCGAGATAGCTTCTTGGCGTCAACGCTTACAAGATGCCAAGTTCAGAAGGCAACCATTTTCTTTCCCTCCAACACTCAGTGCTGCTGATCGGAAGGTGCTCCATGTGCTTTGTGATGAGCTCGGCATCCGACATGAGTCACGAGGTGACGGAGCCAACCGTTGCGTTCATGTCTTCTTCGATGCAGTCTCAGACGTAGGAGGGCCCGATGAGGAGGAGCACATGGACTTCAGTTACGATGAAAGGGAGTACAGCGAGCATGAGGTGTATGACGACTTTTACGATCACTTCGACTTAGGTGATGACCTGAGTGATGAAGAGTAAAAGCTTTACCCTCGGAGCGCATTACCTGACAGCAATTCTTCCGAAGAGACAAAGCGCGGCTTCTTTGCCAGCTTGAATGGTTTAGCCGGCAGACGCCGTTCCTTTGTATCCTGCTCCATGGCCCACCTGTCTTGGCCGCTGTTAATGCTGGCTCTCATTGCACGAAGACCCTATACGAGTACAACTATTAAGAACGCCATGGCCGTCGCGGTGCTGCCCTTAAGCTTGCGCCAAGGCATGATCCCGTTTGCCAGTGCAGATATGTCTTGGGGCTTAGACGTGAAGTTGCCCTCACAGACCCGCGCCAGAACCATTCTGATCCATTAGGCGCATGGCATGATTCATGTGAAACTATAGAGAAGAAATCGACAACAATCTTGCCGCATCTGACTGAGGGCACGGAGTAGGGACTATTCCAGATGCTTCGTAAAGTTCGTAAATTTTATAGTAGGCTTTATGCCCAAACGGGTTCGGGGCTTAATTCATGGGGCTCAGCCCTGAACCCGAAGCCTTGGGACCCTTGGGGCCTCTGGAGCCTCTGGGGCCCCAGGAGCCCCTAAATCCTGAAACCCTGAACCCTAAACCCCCAAACCCGGGTTTAGGGTTTAGGGTTTATAGGCCACCCTCTTGTCCTGGCAATAGTCAGGGAGTGGCCCGAGGCTCAGCAGTAGACAGTCAGCGCGAGCTTGCAGGCTCGGAGGTTAGTACGCATAGCAATCAGGAGTCATGCGAGTTAGTATGTCGCCTATAGCACAAACATGCACGCCGGCAGGGGCATCTACTCGTATCTGTCCTGCTTTTCCCCAGCATGCCGATGTGCCCCTGCGTTGGCGACATAGCCTCGCTACTTGCCACCGCTTCAATGCGGGCTGCGGACGAGCGGGAGATTGGGATGCGGAGAAGTCCGTCAGACCAGGAGGACAACTCTTCGAAATCAGATATTGTGCAAACCCTACTATAAGCCGTCAATCTCACCAAACCCCCAAATGGTTATTTCCCAACATAGGGGGTATCCCTTCTATACATCACATAGAACAGAATCCCCTTAAAGGGACCCCCCAAAAAGGGTACCCCTGTTTTCGGAAACCCCCTCTTTAACAAACGCCCCAGGCGCTTTCAACTTCTGAAGCGCTCATGTCTCCGGCGACACCTGACCGGGTGGACTACGAGGCTGAATTTAGGGTTTAGGTTTTAGGTTTTAGGGGTTAGGGTTTAGGGTTTAGGTTTTAGGGGGTTAGGGGTGCTCTTATTGTAATCTATCTTCACTGGATTTAAGACTTCTTGTTGGACTGGAAGTCACTTCTCATGGAATTAGTTTCTTGTTTATTGTCTTTATCATCCTTTATTTGGATTCATTTATAGTTTTCATATTTGGTCTAGATTTTTTTAGTTTCTGAAGCGCATTATGTAGGGGTTAGGGTTTAGGGGTTCATGGGTGTAGGAGTTCAAGTGTTTAGGAGTTTAAGAGTTTAGGAGTTTAGGAGTTTAGGAGTTTAGGAGTTTGGGTCTGCAGGTCCCCGTATCTGCCATAGCCACAGCTGCAAACCAGTCAACTGGGCGGGTTCCCCACATCAGGGCAGTACGCTTTTTGCGGGCTCTTATATTGCAAGGGAATCTCTTCTTTTTTTTTTTTTTTCTCTCTCTCTCTCTCTCTCTTTGGGATCCATCTTTGGGGCTCCTTTTTCTTCGTAAGCCCCAGTTGAGCTCCCAAGTTGAATCTTACAAAGCCATATAAACTCAGGAGCGTAGCCTGGCGATGGCCTTGTGCGGCTTCACGTTGACTATACAGAGGGGTTGATGCAAGCGGTCCCGCGCCGCGGACACTCCAGAAGCGAAATCACTTGTGGATCACTTTCGAAAGGAGCCACTAGAGAGAAGAAATGGACCTCATAAGCGTAATGCGGTCGTCTGGGCTTGGGGCTTATGGGGCCTCACAGTCTCATTCAAAGGATCCGAGGATCTTATTGAGTTTGTTGGCCGCACGCACCACGCTGCCACACCTTGTGGTGGTAGTGGTGGCGCTGGTGTTGCTGGTGGTGCTGCCATCTTTGCGTAAGGTCTTCAACCGAACCCTAAACTCACCTCAAAAAGAAAGGCAAGAATCCTCCCGAAGTCCCGGGGACACCAGGCTGCAGACCCTTAGATTCAGAGTCTTCTCGGGCTCTGCAGGATCTTCGGGCTTCGGGATTTTCACCGAAAAAAAGTCCCCAAGCGGGGCCCGATCACTGAACGTGCTTCCATGGCGGGGGGGGGAGGGCAAAGAAGGAACCAAAACAAAAACCCAGAAACCCTAAGCATCCCTATAGGCCCTATAGGCCCTAAAGCTCGCCCCAAAACGAGATTGTTACGGTCAGGCCGAAGATGCGGTGACGATTGACTACTCTCACGGCTGGCGCACTGTGCTTGCTCAAGCTGCTCCCGCGATGGTGCGAGGTGGCCCGGTGGTGGTGAAGGCCTTCGTTTGTTCTGGTGGGGGCGCAAGCATGTGCGTGGGTGCGTGATTGTCTTTGTGTCTCTCGTTTGTGAGTCTCGTGTGGGGTGTGTGGGTGTGTGGGTGCGGGCGTGGGGGTGTGGGTCTGGGCATGGGCGTGCACGGGGGTGTGGGTGTGTGGGTGTGTGGGTGTGTGGCTGCGTGTGTGGGTCGGCGGGCGGGCGGGCGTGCGTGGGCTCATCTATACAGGCTCGCTCGCTTTCCCGAAAGTCCACGTGCTTGTGTGTGTGTGTGTGTGTGTTCATGTTTGTGGGTGGATTGCAGTCACTTCTCCAAGTTGGACCTTTCCCACGCGATGAGGACGCCCAGAACCACCAGTACGATCTTGTTTGGGATTCCGACAACAGCCACTTCCGGCTGCTCTGTGAGCCTGGGCCGAGGTCGTTTCCCCTTCAAATCCAGCGGCGGAAGGCGCGGGTTGAGAACCGACGTAGCCCAACATCCAACACAATGCGATCTCTACAGAACACTGAGCACCCTAAGGCCCTAAAGCAAGAACCCACCACCCCACCGCCCCCCCCCCCCTTTGCATTTGAGCTATGCCAATGCATCAATAACAAAATGCACAAGTCATTATACCAAATTTTGGACTCACATCGAATCAACAAGTACTTTACAAAATCCATATTTTTTTCGTTTTGTTGTTTATGTTTATCAGGGCCAGACATCCATCAATTTGGTTTGACAAACATGAAACTTGCAAAACTAGAAAAAACATGACAATAATCACAAAAAACACAACACATCCTTGATATTCATTGCAAAACCCTCTCCGTTTTTTACTTTCAGATATTAACTCATTCCATGAATAATTGAACATTATTATGGTGTTTGATAGTGGATGCTTTGTATGTAATGTTGTTTACGTTTTTGTGTTTATAAACATACCAATAAGCAACAAGGTGTTAATAATTCATATATATATATATAACTTTATAAATATTAGTATAAATATATGTAAAAACATACATAAATACATCTATCTATATATATATATATATATGTATGTTTGTATATGTAGATATTGCAAAACGAACTTTTATATATATACATATATATATATATATATACATATGTGCTTGTCATCAACATGTACATATTTAGCACAAAATGTGTTCAACTACTGCTTTCTCAGCCACTATACCAATAGCTTAAGAACCCCCCCCCCAAAAAAAAAAAAAAAAAAAGTACAAATGTTCTTCCTTATAAGGGTACTGCAGGGATTATCATCTTTCATATTTGGGGTTCTTATGCAAATAGTAGAACAAGGCTAAACCCTAAACCCTAAACCCAACAAGGCTGGCTGGCATGATCATTGGCATCTTGGAGGGGCTCTTGCCAGTGAGGTTGTGGAGGGCATGCGGGAAATGTTGGCGACGAAGCAGAAGCTCCCGCGCAGCGTTGGGAATAAGAGGAGGGTGGACAAGTTCGTCCGAGCAAAGCTCTACGAGTTTTATCAGCATGAGATGATGCTCTTAAGGCGAGGGTTGCAGGAAGGAAGCAGTCCTCAGCCCTCCAGGATACTGGGGGAGGGGGGACCTTCACAGCTAGCTGCGAGTGCGGAAGCCGTCAGAATTGCAATGGCCTATGTCGAGTGCGAGTATTTCGGTCTCTGCTTGCTGCTTGAGGCAGACTGGCTGCACGCACATGCGAGCAATGAAGGAATTGCTTTTCCAGGGAGATGGACAGCAGATTTTGTCGCTGAGTGGGACGCGCGCCTCCTGTGCCTCGGATGGCATGGACAGGATGAGATGCACGCAAGACTTCTCGACCTGGGGCACAGGCTCCCCTTTAGCCTCCTTGGAAGCTTTTTCTCTTGTTTGTCTTTGTTTTTGTCCGATTTTAGATGCTTGGAGCCTCTTAAGACCTAAAGAGAGAATGGAAAGTGCACTGAAGGCTCTTTGTAGTCGGCAATGCGCAGAGCATCGAGCGAGATGTCATTGAGGTGGTGAAGGACAAATTGGATTTTGGCTTTTGGGGGGCCTATAAGTTTGGGTTTAGGGCTTATGAGGATTTAGGTTTCGGAGGTCAGGCGGGTTATAAAGATCATAATAGGATCTCAACTCCGGCCTCGGGCAACCGCAGGACAAGCTGTGTGATCTAATGGAGAGCCACCCGCGGGTCTTCGAGATCATAGGCTGCCGCTTCCCAGAGGAGTTCCACTACCTCCTTGCCTTTGCGCACAGATGCTCCGTCGCAGTGACCCTGCTCTTTGCTGAGAGCCAAGATCGCAGAGGCCTGCTGGAGAAGATGAGCTACAAGAGCATTTTTGCTGGGGCGGCGATGTTCTCTGTTCTTTCCAGGGTCTTCCCACCCTAGGCCATGCAAGAGTTGTCGGTCTCCATGTGATCCTGCATCAGAGAGCTGCAGCTGCAGAGTTTCGAGAGATGGGGGCTTGAGCGTCCGGAGTGCTTGGGACAGCCGAGTGTTTGGATGGTCACTGAAGGGCTTCCAGCTCAGGGAACAGCGCAGCCTCAGAGCCGACTGCAGACGACAAGCCGTGGGCAGACTTGTTATCGTACTTCCCACCGAGATCCAGACGTTAAGGCAAGACCCCTACGCAGAGATGAGATGAGATGAGTCAGTGGGAACAAGAGCCTCTTTTCCCGGCGGCTGCATAGCTCTGACTCTTGACATGCTTTTCTTCGCAAGGTGATAGGGTTTGTCTGCATGTGAGTGAGCCATCACCTACACCCTCGAGCGTGGGGTCCCTGGTGTCATGAGTGGTTCGGAAGCAGGGTTGTGGGATTGCCGTTATCTTCAACGAACCCTCGAAGTCCACAGAAAGATTTCACCAATGAGGGCAGCTCATGCTCTGCTGGCTACAGACCATCGCGAATGAAAGGAATAACCTGCTGCTCGATAGCTCCTAGGTCTGAGCCCCTTGCTTGCAAGATGGAGTGTGCAAATCACTCTTGTTTCAAGCAAAACGTGGACATTTCTTTGTTTACGAGTACCAGTGCAGAGGCCATCGTATTTCTTGTTCGTGTCAAAAAGATTGTGTTGCTGCATTGGCAAGCATGAAAACAAGCAACCGTATTTCGCATTTCATATCGAAGTTTTTCGAAAGCAAGATAAGTTAACCAACGAAAGCCTCTTGAATAAAGGGTACTCTTTGGTAGCATTGCAAGTATCAGAAGCTAGCGCGCTTCTTGACAATCTTGGACGGAGTGTTGTTATGAATTAGCAAGCACAAGAAGTTATTGCCTTTCTCATCTCACGCTTGAAAAGGACAAATTGTAAACGGCTGCGCACGCGCCATCTCGGCAGCCGGGCTGGCCCAATGTGGGGTGTCGCGTGCTCATCGCAGACGAAGGAAAGCCAGGTCCTATGTCACATGCAGTTTAGGAGTACTTGGAGGTTCAGGGTACGTAGGTAGCTAATTAAAAGTGTAGTTATAACCCACTTATAAGCCCCTTAAGTACTCTAACAGGGTTATACTTGGGTTTTAAGTACAGTTATAATTGGGTTACGAAGTAGCCTGAACCCTCAAGGAGGAGGGCTAGGAGGTTTGAAGGGGGGTCCCGGAAGACCCCCTCTTGACTAAAGGGTATTCTTTCCGGACATGAGCTCTCCCAAATATGTGGCGGTTCTTGTTCTCACAATTGAAGGAAGCGCTCCGGAACCAAAACGCCCAAACGAAAACAACACTAGAAGAACACCAGGCAAAAACAACTTGGACGTACAGGCTGATCATGAGCCAAGAGAGTTCCGGATTTGTTTGTTTTGTTGTTTTGTTGTTGTTTGTTTGTTTGTTTGTTTGTTTGTTTGTTTGTTTGTTTGTTTGTTTGTTTGTTTGTTTGTTTGTTTGTTTGTTTGTTTGCGGTTTGGACCTTGCCATGGCAGGCACGTGTTTCTATTTCGCGACAAAGTAGCCTGGACACTGCGAGCACGCACGGCGGTAAGTCTAACTCAACTCACATTCAACAACAACTAAGGAACAACAAAACGATGAAAGCAAAACCAACACAACCAAAACAAATACAAGCCAATAACAAAAACAAACCCGACAAACAAAACCTAAAGCACGCGAAAACACATGTTTTGGGGAACTGTTTGGTTTTGTTGGATGTTTGTGGTTTTTGGTTGTGGTTCCGCTAGACTCCCGTCGCTGTGTTTGAGACTGACAAATGTGTGTAATCCCCCCTCAGAACGCAGCGGCTGAGTTTTACCGCTGAACCAATCTACAACATACCTGAACCCTCTTGCGTCGTTCTTTTTCAGGTTCCCACTGTGGAAACCAAGAATTTCAGGTCAGACCAGAAATTTTTGGCAGGCCCATTTCCCGCCCAAAAACTCTTGACAGGCCCAAGTGCTGCCAGCACTACAAAGATGAGCATTAGATGATAGCACAGCTTTTAACACAGGAATTGTGCTACAAAGGCTCATTTGGTGGTTGCCGTTGGGGTTTGATTATCTGTACGAAGTGATGGGAAGGCTCCGCACATCCGACCAGTTGGTTTATTCAGTCTTGACCTCTAGACGCAGCAAAGCCTAACATGATCCTGTACCCCAGGCTTGGGGAGCCGAACAGCATTCTCGAACCCACAATTTCTACTGGAGGGCAAAACACTCAAAACATATTCGCCATATGTTGACCTAAGTTTATACTGTTTTATGTACAGGTCAATGACACCTATCTACCGTACTGGACCATACAGCGGCAGACATGTGGAAAGGACTGTTTATCACAGCTACACAAGAACTAGAAAGGCACAATACACACACACATATATATATATATATTTATTTATTTTTCTTCTTTTATACATACATACATACAGACATACATACATACATATGTACCGTCAACAAACCCAGCAATACACATATTTTTTACATACACACATACTTTGCATAAATTCTGCATATGCGCAGTGCAGGATATATATATATATATATATATGTATGCTAACCCCCCCCAGGACCTACCTCGCAAAATCAAAAAGCCCCCAAAAAAACAAAACAAAAAACCAAATAAAAAACACAAAAACTTTGGGAGACTAGTCGCCCAGGTCCAGGGCATAGTGTCCCATTTGTTTTGTGTTTCTTTTTGTGTTTGTTTTTTTGGTTTTGTGAGTCCTGCCGAGGACTCGCCTATGACTGCCACCAAACCCTAAAATTAGGGTTAAGCAATTAAGCCTAAACCCTCAACCTTTAAACTAAAAGGGTTTAGGGTTTACGTGAAGGCTCTTGTGTAGTTCTTTTTTGGGTTTAAGATTTAGATTTAAACCTAAACCCCTTGGGGCCTAAACCTTCATGGTTTAAGGTTTAGGAATTTAGACCTAAACCCTAAACCCTTTAGGGTCAGAACCCTTAAGCCCTATAGGGCTCTAAAAGGTTCAAACGCTTTAACCCTACTGGTGCTGAAGATAAACATGCCCAGACCTAGTAAACCCTATAAAGTTTAAAGGCTTAGGGCTTTTCAGGGTTTATATCTGAAACCCTCACGGGGTTATAGGGTTCGAAGGTTGAGGATTTGAGGTTTAGACATTACCTGGAGGATTAAAACCTCATAACCCTATAGGGCTTGAGGCTTAAATCCCTAAACCTTAAATCCTAGAGGGTTATGCCTATGTTTGTAGGGGCTTGCCTCCTGTGGAAATGCAAAGAGAAAGCAGAAAAAGTACCCACATCATGTATGTATATAGGGCATATGTATTGTATGCAAAATTCAGATAATTTAGAAGGAAGGAGGGTACGCCTCGAACCATAAGACTAGGAAGAATGCGAGTGGGGACGCGAGACTACTGTGAGCACTGTTTCCTGGGATCTTCCACCAGGCCGCTAGTAGCGGGCTAAGGTTTGAATGCCTAAACCTCAAACCATGAAGGTTTAAGCTCTATGGGTTTAGGTTTAAATCCCTAATTTTTAAACCCTAAACCATTAAACCTTAGACATATAGGGTTTAAAGCTACCTCAACACTAAACAGCCACAAAACTGGAAAAAAAAACTGAATATCCAAACAAACCCCACAAAAAACAAAAAACAAAAAACAAAAAACAAAACAAACAAAACCCCCCAACAAAAACATTGGGACACTATGCCCTGAACCTGGGCGACTAGTCTCCCAAAGTTTTTTTTTTTTTTTTTTTGGGGGGGGTTTGGTTTGTTATTTTTTATTTTGTTTTGTTTGGTTCTTTTGGGGTTTGTTTGGTTATTCATTTTTTTCAGTTTTTTCTGCTTGGTCCTGGAGGGGGTTAGCTATATATATATATATGACCTACTTCACGAAATCAAAAAAGCCCAAAAAAAACAACTAAAAACAAATAAAACTTTGGGAGACTAGTCGCCCAGGTCCAGGGCATAGTGTCACACATTTTTGTGTTTTTGGTTTTAGTTTTTTTGTTTTTTGTGGGGTTTGTTTGGTTATTCAGTTTTTCAAGTTTTGTGGCTTTTTAGTGTTGAGGTATGTCCTGGGGATTTTACCATATTTATATATATATACACACACACACATCTGTGTATGCTAGCCCCCGCCCTCCGCCCCCCCGGCCTCCGGCACCTCGGTGTTGTAGCGTGGTTGTGTGTGTGTCGGTCATGCATATCCACATGTTCCAGCAAAAGCTTGCTCGACCAGGCATGTACCGATATCAAGCAAAAATGTAGTTCTCGTTTGCTGTCATTTAACGGCCTTTGATGAAAGTAAGAGAAGTCTATATAAATAAGCGAGTTTCTTGAAAACAAAAGATGTTCTTTATGAAAGCCATTTCCTGGCACGGAAGATGGTGAAGAAGAATGTCTTCCGTGCGAAAACTTACGGAATGTGTGTGTGTGCATTCATGACTTTAACAGGAAAGGAGCCCGCTCTTTTAAAAAAGAAAGGGCAATGAACAAAGTTGTTTTTGTCTGCTCGTACGAGTACCAGAAGCTGTTGTATTTGTCGAGTATTGGAAAGAGCTTTCTTTTGCCTTACCAAGCATAAGATAAGTTCTCGTGAAATGTCAAGAAGCCATTTTAAACATTCCTTGATTGAACCATATTCGAAGCATTTTCATGTCTTGCCTATAGCGATCTCTCACTTTCTTAGAATCTTCCTCACTGAGCATTGGTGCCAAGCCAACCCAAAATACTAACACCATGTGTGTTGTGGGAAGACTGACCTTCGTTAAGCACGAGTTCTCTTTTCACAAGAAAAATCAAATTAACACAGGTTTCTGTGTCTATTAGTGCGAGTGCAGGAAGCTGTCGTATTTCTGTCTAATACTAAAGCGAGTTTGCTTGTGCGTTTCAAGTTCAAGCATAAACGATGTTCTCGCATTTTTCAGCGATATTTTAAAAGCAGAAGCATCATACATTCTTCGATGCAGAGGAACAA